ACGTTCCTAGTTTGCGCATGCGTCGTAAGGTATCAATCTAACATGTGGCTATAATATCAAGCTAGTCAATCTGTTGACATTCATATTAAGTCTTTTAAAACGCTGTACACGACCCAGTTGAATACCGTTGACATAAATAAAGCATATAAACCTTCTTTATTCTGCTCAGTCTTTGGAACTACATTTCCCTGTTTCTCTCAGCTGTCCGGTATTACGACGTGTCGTAAAATTCAGCTAACAGCAAAACCGAGATGGACACCACAAAAGACCCCTGACAGTTTTTAGTGTTTATCTAAGTGTTATAAACAAATCTTAATGTAGCGAAGGTAGGCTTCAGCACGCAGGACTGGTCTTGGACATGGAGGATATGGAAGATGACAGCTTAGACACAAAAGACGACCATAACCACAACTGTTGTGCGAGCAGCAGCAGCAAAGTCCGCACGTATCTGAGGAGCCAGCTGTCGGGTGTAGCGACGGTTCCGCAGCCAGCCTGCCCATTGGTGCCGGGTGGAGAACCGGGGACGCGACGAGGGAAACTGTGGTCCGGCAGCACCGGGGGGTCAAAGTTCATGGACTCGGATTCAGGCAGTGAGAGCAGCGAAGTCAGCGAGACCGACTGCACGGCTCCGCCAGCCGCTGTTGAGGGAAAATTCACCCTGGAGTCTACTTCCAAGTTCCGTAAGTTCACATTCAGCAGCACCGTGTCAACAGGGCCTGGTATCCCGCAGTCCCCGAGCAGCTCCATGCAGTGTACTAACATGTGTTGACTGATGCGTTTGGCTTACAGTTGGTTTGTTAGCCTTGGTTGTTTTGACCAGTAGGCTATTGTGTTTTTGACATAAGTAATGTTCAATCTTACTACTACTCCATTTTCACTCAGTTCTGAATGCAATGGCTGTAGAAGACTACCGGAAAAACCACTGGCCAAACCTGGAGAAGGCAATTGACCGTCTGCTGATCCAGAATCCCACAGACCACATCTCTGTTTCCTATGCACAGATATACAGGTAAGATTATAATGGTAAACTCACTTTAGCTAGGCCTCATTTCCCTGTAAATTGTGATTTTTGATGCCTCCATGTGCACCACTACTTAATCTAGTTCACCTGCAATCCTGGGTTTCTGAGTTTTTGCCTTTTTTGTCTTTCTTGCCCTAGTTACGTCTACAAGTGTGTTTGTCAGCAGCACTCTGAGCTCCTCTACAATGATCTGATAGTAAAATTAACCAATCATCTGCAACAGGTTTCCACCCATCTACAAGTAAGCAGATACAAATAGAAGGAAATTATCATATACAGAAATGGTAGCATTTGCTAACACTTTTATTGTTGTTTTCAGGCGAGCCCACCCGAAGACTTCATTGAGAACTTTAATGTTGCGCTGACGCAATACACAGCTTCTCTTCAGTGTATAGTTCCTGTTTTTATGTACTTGGTAGGCATCTTTTTAGTTCAGTGTATTTGTAGTAGATTTTTGTGCACCCAACTATATCCTGGTGCTACGGTGTCACTTTTCTTCTCAACAGTTTTTCATGTTCCATGTTTTCAGAACAAGTTCTACATCGAATCAAAGCTGAACAGAGACCTAAGGGAGGATCTGATGAAGCTGTTTGCTGATTGCGTAGCAGAAATACATCTGAGCACACTGATGCGTGAGTGCATTGCTTCATTCAAAGCCCTTATATCTGTCATGATATTTGAAAATGGTTATTTTGCTTGTTATTTTGAACTCAACTTTCCATTAACACTTGGTAAATCAATGGCATATGTTTGTCTCAAGTCATTGTGCTGTTGTCTTGTCTTTTATCATGTATTCTTTTCTTGTTCAGCTCTTCTCATCAAAGCTCATTCCATGCCGTTTCAAGTGCAGCCATCTACCATGGCTAGTGTGGTTAAAGGCCTCTACAGCCTGCGACCAGGTAAGCTGTGTTTATATGTGAATATCTCCCCCAGGTTTCAAACGATGTGTTCTGTTTGTGTGTCTGCGTTGTGTGTCAACAGCATACGCCTACAATCTTGTCTTTTGTGAATGTATGCTCAAGGACCTATCATGGTTGCAGTGATTCACAATTTAAAAATAATATATTTTACTAACTATTTTACAGTTGCTGACTGCTCCCTCACTCTCATCAAGCTATAGGCTGTATGCAGAGGTGGGAGAAGGACTCAGATTGTGTATTCAAGTAAAAATACCAGAATGTAGGAATACTCTGTTACAAGTAAAAGTACAAAAGTATTAGCATCAAAATATACTTAAAGTACCAAAAGTAAAAGTAGTGATTGTGCAGATTGGTCCATTTCAGAATAATATATGATGTGTTTTCTAATGATTGATCATGAAAGTGTTCTCAAAGCTGGTAAAGGTGCAGCTAGTTTGAATGACTGTGTATACTGCAGGGTAGCTTGTGAGTTTACTCCAGGTGGAACTAAAGTCTGATTCAACACTTGGTTATATTTCACATCATTCATCCAAGTCTCTAAAGTAACTAAAAGTACAAAATAAATGTAGCAGAGTAAAAGTACACAATGTACCTCTCATTTGAAGTGGAGTAGAAGTACAAAGTGGCATAAAATGGAAAGACTCAATTAAAGTACCTCTTTTTTTTATACGTGTTAGGAGAATAAAAAAGCTGCACAACACATCTATCTTACCTTTGGTTTCCTTTTTCAGACTGGGCCAAGTTAGCACCGGCTCTCTTCTCCGGGTTTATCCCGCAGATCAACCCTCCCGCTGTGGAGTCTCTGCTTCCTGACTACGCTGCTCATGACCAGAAGTTACAGATGGATCTCTCCATGAATGGATTTCCGCGGTGTGTTTTCTGAGGCATCACTTCTAGAAAGTCAAAGTCTGAACATTGACACATTTTTGGGAAGGTCTTCTTTTTACTTGAATACTGATGTAATGTGTTTTTGTTTTCCAGAGGTGACCAGTCTCGCAAGCGTGCCAGCGAAGACTCCTGATAGCAAAGCCGGAGTCCCTGCGGAACTATTACTGTGCCTCCTACGTCTTTATCACAAGTTGGCTCACTGCACTAGGTACAATGTTGACAATGTGTCAGTCTCATCTCTCTCGACTCAAGGTCACAAAACACTGTGAACAACAACAAGGAGAACATGAGGGGCTGTTGGGCAGAAGCTTAATCTGACTGCACTAAAACAAGCACACAGACTTCCATTAAGGTGCTTCCCCTCTGTGATTATGATGCATCCTGCTTCAGTATTCCTAGGATGTCGCTGTGTGAGTCTCTTCATGTTCTCCTCATTTGAAGAGTGCCTTCATGGGGCCTTCTGATCGGATATCCCCCTCGAGGGATAGGCCGGTGATGGGTATTTAATTCCTAACCTTTAACATGGAAGAGTCTTTTTGATAGACTGGGCTAATCGAGACTTTCCATTGCTGCTAATAATACTGTCCATGTGATAAACTACAACTCCCTCAGATTCACACACTGTGTCTGTAACCTAGTGGCTTCACTCAAAACAAATGAGTGTTTAAAACAAAAAGAGAACCAAGTCATTGACCTCAACTCAACTGAATCTCTTCCTCATGTTGCCTTTACTGTGTTGGTAAACCGGATTGTATTATCCCGTTACGCCAAAGAGGATTTGCAGTTTTATTTTCCTTTTGTATAAATATGCATTGGATTCAAGCTGGCATTGTTAATGTTGTATACTGTCTTGAGTCACTGAGCCATTTAATGTTTTTATACTAGCAGGTTTTCAGTTTTGGTTGACTTGTTTGTCAAACTCTAACTTTAAACGTACTGTTTTAGCATTGCATGCAGGAAGGGCAGGGACTGCCATGTAGGACATTACACTGTTTGCCACAAAGCTTAAACATCCACAGATTAGCCTTCTTTAATTTCTTGACAATTTACCCAAATCATCCCGATACTGTAAGTAAATCCAACCTGATGCATGAGTTTTACGGAATGAATGATATGCAAATACTGTTTGGTCCGTGTCAGCCGTACTTGTAAGACATGTAGAGCCTGTTCATGATGTAAATAGTTGTTGGTGTTTGCATAGTGGTCAGTGTACCCTAGCTTTTTGTTAAATGATTCACTTGAAGTATTTGATACAAGGTCTTACACTGTTTTAAGTGTACATAGATGCTCAGGCTTGCTTTTCCTTTCCCGCGGTGGGTCTTGGTTATGGTTCTCATTGTCTTTCAAATAAACACGTTTCATTAATTGTTGGGCAAAGAGGGGATTTTGTTTTTGTACTTTTCAAGATTTAAAATCTGGGTATTGACAGACGGTATTCTTGTTAATAAACATATACACTGATACCAATCGGATAACATTGTTTAATAAACAAGCTCTATTCTTCACTATGAGGAAGTGACATGAATTGTTTGACTTAATGCAACATCAGGCTTGACATTGCTTTCCTAACTTAAAAAAAATTGAACAATTAAATACATGGTTATACATTTACAGATTTGTCTTCTATTAATTAAATACAAAATCAGCCTGCAACCTACAATCTTAAAAATGTACTCTATCTAAACGTAGAGCTGAATTGAATGGATATTAATTGATCAATGGCACGGCACCCAATCCAATTATTTGAAGCAGTATCAGTTCGATATCAGTATGTGTGGATCCCGCAGTGCTTGTTGAGATATCCCTTTCTCTTAAAAATGATCCATGTGAAAACTGCACCACAGTGAATAAAATGTAACTTGGCTCAAACACTGTTAAAAATCTGTTGCAAAGAAATCTTTTTCCAAAAAAACATTGAATCCAGTCACAACCACTGCCATAACTTTTACTACATTATTTTTTATTTTATTTTTTATACAGTGCAACACACATTTCAAAGTGTATTATTGCTGTTAATCTGCTGTGTGAACCTTAGTGTCTGGGAGGCTCCACAAGGGGCTTCTAATTCTGTAGGATGGCGGCCTGTGACGGAGCACTGGAGGAGGAATCTCTTTACAGCAGCCCCCCCCCTGGCCAATGAGCTGGGACGCCACCCTGAAACATGGGCCAGGCCTCCCCAAAATAACCTGCGACTACTGCGCTGACAAATGTTGCTACTTGTGCTGGTGACAAGTTACCGTAGCTACACGGCTCCATATATTCCCGTAAACTCTCCAAGGTGAACTGTGTGGTAAAACCGGGAAGGTTTGGCAGTTGCTCGTGTCCAAGATTTTTCCCAAGTGGCAGCCGCCGGAAGACCGGAATCTCCCTGTTTGAGCACAGGTGCACTCTGAGGATTTACCAGGGGCCGCTGGGGCTTATTCTGAAGGTAAAACACACCACCCCCTGATTTAATTGTTCACAGATTCCTTTTGACTGCCTCATATGCTGTGTATAGCCTCAGAAAACCTCTGACATTGAGCCTCAGTAGGGCTGGAGTCTATTTCTGTGAATGTTAAATTGAATTATCTTAACCTGCCGGTGTTTATCCAGGGGCCCTTTAATCTGCTCACTCAGCACTGTCCCACTTATGATCATTATAGTTTCTGATTTAATAATAATTGTTGTGGCTCATCAGAATCATGATAACAAGGGCCTTGCTTTTTTGTGTTGATTTTCTTCATGTAAACTGACCCCTCGCTATTATTAGATATGACTCGGTGGGCTCGGAGCCTGTTTGCAAAGGATTCATGTACACAACAGCTGCAGCTTCAGGTCCGTTGGAAGGGCATTGCTGCCTCTCTTATTGTGCTGATTTGACTGTCAGTAGCATATGTGTACCCTATCTCATGTCTGGACTCAAGAACTTGCTCACGCCGAGTGTCGAAAAGTTGTGTGGAGTCTAAACGTCATATAAGAGTTGGTGCGAGGTGGAGGGGTCCCATCAGATCTGCTCTCAGTGCATGAAGCTGATACCCTGTCTGGTTAGAGGAAATCTGGAATTAGGTTTAAATAAAAAACTATTAATACCACATATCCCCTGCTTTTAACTTCAGTCTCTGCTCTCATGTTCTATGTTTGCTCTAAATATTGCAGCCGCAGGGAACGAAACACGATCTTTATTTTGTATTTGTTTAATTGACTGAGGTCTGCATCTTTGACATGTCAGTGAACTAAAAGACTGTTTCATTCTATGTACTGCAACCTGCATTCACTTCATTCATTACATTACTGCTCATTAGTATATCTTACTTCCTAATAATTAATCAATTTCCCAGAGTTCAATCAGGTTTTTATTTGCTTGATATTCTAAATGTTTAAAAATTTAGTTTCCTATCAAAGCAGATAACCAGTAACAAGTAACCAGAGAAGTATGTTTCATATTTCCGATGTCGTCAAGTATAAAGTCCGGAGCTGCTCCTTTAAAACATATTTAATAGGGAAAGACTTTAGGGAAGTTCTGAGTTCTGAAACGTAAATACTTAACGAGAGTTAATTTACTCATATTTTGGGAATTTCTTATCGAGGAATATGTATGCAGTTTTCAATTGGGCGAAGTTCTCCTTTAAGAATGTGGATCTTGTGCCTTTATAGAATTTCAGCTTTTCTGTCTATCTAAAAATGTATTATTTGATGATAGATAGCCGGGCACTTTCAGTAATTTTACGGTTATGTACTTTCATTGATTGATCCATAACAGTGAGCATTTACATATTTCAGTTGGTTACATTACCATTGAATTGTAATGCATGGCGTGGTTATAGGCTGTAGTGGGGAAACGGAGAGCATTTTCCTATGAATACTTGTTTTTAATGTAATTTATTGACAATCTTGTGATTATTCCCTCAGCATGCAGGAGAACAACATCGAGCAGCCCCCGTCACTGTCTCAGCTCCTCAGAGAGAACTACCTGGCAGAGGCCCGAGCCCAGCAGCGCCACAGCGAGATGAGCCGCTCAGACGCTTCCTCCTCACGCCTCCAGATCTACGGGTCGCTGAAAGGCAAGGCGGAGGACTCTGGGGCTCACAATGATCCCACATTCACAGACCTGTCAGCCTTCCTCAGCCAGGAGGAGCTGGATAAGAGCGTGAACCTGGCCCGGCAGGCCATCGGACATGAGCCTCGAGAGGAGAGGGCAGAGGTCAGAGCCTCTCTCGCACCATTAACCCAGTCCACAAGCCCCTCAGCCTCTTCCTTTGAACTCACATCTGTTCCCCTGGCCAACCCCTCTCCTGCTCCTTCCGCCGCCCCCTCCATGGTGCCCTTCACCCAGCCGGCCCCTGAACTCAAAGAACTGCAACACACAACATTCACACCAGACAGAAAGGTGCATAAAGCGTCCGCACGGCAGGAAAACATGTCCAGGAACGCAAGGGGCCCCGGTGAGGGGTTCAACGACATTGAAAGGTCGGCGAAGAACGCCCCGTACGGCATGGAGAACCAGTCCAAGAAGGAGTTCCTCAACAAGGCAGCAGACTTCATCGAGGAGCTCTCCTCTCTCTTCAAGGCCAACAGCTCCAAACGGGGACGACAGAGAGGGAGCAAACCCCACCGGAGCAGGAACCAGAACAAGAGCCAGGTGGATGGGGAGGTGTATCCCCTCGGCCCTGACGACAGAGAGCGCTCTTCCATGCCCCTGGAGGTGGAGGCAGAGGTGGTGGTGGAGGAGGAGGAGAGACCAAGCCCCGCTGTAAGCCACCAACCAGAGGCCCAGCTGGACTCTGGGATTGGGCACGTGGAGTTTCAGGACAGCAGGATTACTGAGGAGGAGCAGCAGTGTGATTCTGTTTCCCAGGAGGCACCAGAGGAGGCAGAAAGCTGCATCCTGACAGACACTCCGTACCCCGCGGAGTCTGCGTCTGAGCCTCCTTGTTTCATCCACAAACTGAAAAGCAGGGAGGTTGCAGAGGGCAGCAAGGTCCAGCTGGATTGCATTGTTAGGGGACTCCCTGTGCCTGAAGTCAGGTAAGACAAACCAGTGCTGAGAGTACTTCTTAGTGTGCGGGAAATATAATACAGCAGGACATGAGCCTTAATTTGTCTTATTGGAATACTTTGAATTGCAGAAATGCCAGTGTGCTTTACAAGTACCATTTGAGAACAATTATGTTTGGAGATAATGTTATGAGGGTTTTAGGTTTAGGTGTCATAGCAGGGATTCTAATTGGTACAAATGTATTTCCTTAAGTATTTCCTTTTAATGCTGCTTTCTACTCTTTACTCCACTACATTTATTTGACATTTTTAGCTACTTTACAGAATAAGGATTTTACATACAAGACACAATAAATCTTATAATATAATACATCGACTTAATTGACCAGTGATATATATATATATATATATATATATATATATATATAAAAAGGTGTACTACATGGCAAAAGATTCAAGGAAAATATACAGTTTCAGTAATAGTAATCAGTTGTGTATCTAACAGTTTAACTCTCACAGCAACCATTATTCTGAATTATAGGTACTTTTACTTTTAAAACTTTAAATAACATTTGCTAATAATACTTACATCATTTTAAGTTACAATTTTAATGGTGGAATTTGAAGAAAATTGCCACTCGGATTGAAATGAAGGACCATGCTTCACAAAATATTTCTGCTATCATGATCTGTGTTAAGTTAATGTAATAGGCATTGGTTAAATTAGGTAAAGAAATGAAAGATTTGAACAATTGTTTTGAGATTTAAAATGAAACGTTAGAAGAAACTGATTTGTTAGTCCTACTTCCACAACTTAACTGAGACTTTTAAAAGATTGATTTAAGACATTTAATACCAGTTCAGGCCTTTAATTTTGATTAATTACTTCAATTCCTTTAAGACTTGTTTAAGACCTTGGTATACAAGAGCCCAATATTATTATCTATTATAACTTATATCTACTGGCTGTGCCACCTAGGTCTGGTAATATACAGTAATACATTTCAGTAGACAAGTGGCCAAAATATGTTTTTAGGTTTAGTGTAAATGTTTGTCCACCATTCTGTATAATATCCAAATCAGGATCAAATGTATCATGGTTTATAATCTTTCATGTACAAATATAAGCAACCAAAAATATATATCAGAGTTTTCAACAATCAAATATGCATGTGGGCCTCAACAGTACAGTTTTGGTCAGACTTGAGTGTTTATGAAGTGTTTAAGATGCCATGTCTGTTCCTTGGCCTGAGCTGATACTGAGGAATTACAAAGCCTTTTGAGAATTGTGACCCAAGATGAAGAGTGTTACTTTCTTGGGGGATCCTAACAGAAGTTTGACCTGAGGCGATTGCCAACAGCTGATTCTGAACGGTGTGAGTGTCTGTTTTTATGTCAGGGTTATGTCTGGGACAAATAACATTTAGCTGTCATTCGTTCTTTAGAAGAATACCGTCATATTCCAAGGAAGGGCCATCCTGAATAATGACCATTCACATTCAACCTGGGCCAAAATAGGAGAGGAGTGAACACATCTCATTGCAGTTAGCTGCTTTTGGAAGCAGGGTGAGCAGAGCACATTTTGAGGAAGAACATGGAGGTAATTCACTTTTATTAATGCTTGTCTTGTGGCAGTTTAGTTAGGTATTTGCTAAAACCCTGGCTTCATCACGAGGACAACAAAGCCTTGAATAAAAGTAAAGCTGAGGTCTCAAACTATGGGGGCATGGTCTTGTTGGTCTTCCAACATTGTTGAGCCACTAACATATGTGAGTGTCCGGGGAGAATGTAGCTCTTGGCCATTTTTAGCCCGGCCTGACAGTGCGAGCTGTAGTCGTGTCAGATAATGGATCCTACTGACAGAAGCTGGAAGACTGTGGTAAGATAATTTATACAGTTATTGTTTAACCATATGGTCTGTCCCAGTGTCTTACACTTGACATGTCTGAAGATGTGAGTTCAATTTTAGTGTATTCCAATGAAAAAAAGGTGCTTTCTGTTAACAAAACGCTCTTTTGATCGACTTTGGTGTGATGTTGTTGCTTGTTTCTCCTGCTACTGCGTTAGTAACTATGACTTTACTGAGTGAAAATAGAGTTGTCAGGTTCATATTTCCCATCAGTTTGCAGTGGTGTGCTGTCACCGGTGTGTCAGGGCACAGCATTGTGTGTTCACTGAGTCTATGTTTAGCGCTATGCGTGCTTGTATGCGTATGTGATTGGGTCAGCCAGTCAGAGCTCCCAGGCTCCAGAGGGAATCTCCTCTCCGGTTCTGAAGTCCAGAGGGAAAATAGCTCAGACAGGTGCAGATCACAGATCAGCCACCAACTCTACTACTAATGCTTTCTTTTTAGACCCTTACTCATTAGGAATGACGTAGCTCAGCCGCTGGCAGGACATTGACAGCACAGTGTTATAGCCAAAGTATCGGAAACAGATCTTTACCGTGTTGTCACTGGAAACTACACTTTGATTTCAAATGCAATAAGGAATGAATTCCTCTCCATGCATAGAGAAGCAATGGGGAGCCTAGTTTGTGTTTTGATACTGTGAAAAACAGCTTTTAATGAAATATACAAGGACTGTCAAATGAATAATAGAACTTTCCTTGGATGCTTTTGTCTATCACCAAAGAAACTGTGTGTGTATTTTTGAAACTGACTTGAACAAAAAAAAACTCTGTTTATTGTAGATTTAAAAAAAATGAAATGAAAACAATGATATCTCATGAACGTATATTATGTACATTTTTCAATGCAAGGGCGAAACAAACAATCAAAAAATAGACATCGTAGATAAATCTGTGTTTGCTATCACAACTGTTGGGTTATTTTCTTATTGAAAAGTTGGAATTATTAAATAGGACATATTAACTGTGTCTCACCATGTCTTTTGGCTGAGTAAAAGTAGTTGAGGAATAGTTTCTTGACCCTTGGAGTTTTATTTAGTGCATATTTAGATGAAAATGTGAGTCTGGTGGAAGAACTCGATGTGATTTATGATCGTCTGATGACGTCCTGTCAGAGAGTAACACCTCACCTCATTCCTGCATGTTTATTGGCTGGATTTCATAAAGCACCTCATCTGCTCAAAATAGATTTGCGTAGACGTCGATGCTTCTGCATTATGTTGGAAAGAGAGAATTAAAGGTTTACTATTAATATTTAAAATGAATAAATAGACTTTTGTCAACTTAAATTCCAAAAGAGTGGATGCTACTTGGTAGGAATCATTTCTGTAATTTAATATCAGCCAGGTCGGACTGTAGTCGGGTTTCCTTTAAAGGGGTCATATTATGCTTTTTGGGGCTTTCCCTTTCCTGTAGTGTGTTAAATAAGTTTGTGTGCATGTAAATGGTCTGCAAAGGCTAAAATGTCAAAGTTCCCTCAAGAGGGAGTTTCTCTCCCACCCCTGCCTAAATACCCTTCCATTGTAGTCCTTTGTTTACTTTCGTGAAATAATGACATCACTATGTTACACTCAGGCTTCTTTTGGCTAGCGCTCCAACAGATTGTCTCTAAGCTGTTAACTAATCTGACTGGGCTCTGGTTTCAGACCGAGTTTTCAGACCTGCAGCACAGGTAGTCTGAGAAAAAGAAAGCACTTTTTGAACATTAAAGCATGGAAACACGTCACAGTAGAGGTACTAAATACAAATATGAACCTGTACATTTGCATAATGGGGCCCCTTTAATTGGAAAAAGGCAAAAAGCAACATAAGAAAACACCAGATTTGATGGACACAACACATTCTAGGTGAGCTGTTTTGTGCTCCTTAGATATTGTAACATCAACAGTGTGTTGAAGCACCTCTAAACTGGCACGCTGGCGTTGCTTCTTGTCTTACAGGGAAAGGGATAGGGCTTGGTCATCAAAACATTGTTCTCTTAGCCAGCATAACTCCACAAAGTGGCAGAAAGCCAGAGGCACTTTTAGAGAACTGGCACCACATGAAAGCAGATTCTCAGAAACGGTGTCAGAAGGTTAAGAGGAGGAAAAAGATAACTATGAAGGGGTTTTTCAATTATATAGCAAGGATATCATGAAATATCCTACTATATTCATATTTAAGTCATATAAGAGAACTATAACTTAAGTCATAGACAGGTGACCAATAAAAGTAAAAGAGCTCATTGATATGTTTGGAAAAATGTAAATGTTCCCTTTGTTAAAGCTGCATGGACACTTAATACTTTATTCTTCTGTTTTATTACTTGTTTTTACATTATGTCAGGTTGCCATACTAAAAGGAAAACCATTTTATACAAATTCACACTATCCACAACGTCATGTCCACATGCAATAAGGAACAATATAGTTGTCCCAGTAATTATACACATCCAGCCCTGACAAATAGGAATGGAGTAGTTATAATATCCATTTAATGCAATATCAAAGCCTTTATTTTGAGATTTCTCTGAAAGGTTGACAAAAAAGGGGTTTCTCACCAAAACACATTGCATGTAAACTTCAAGTCTTATTAGTCTTATATTTGCAAAGCTGACTTTTAAAAATACATCAAATAACTCATCTACCTCTATTAATAAGTTCAACGCTTATGCATTATTGACATCCACAAAATCTTTGACACTATACAACTGATGTGCGCTACTTTTTAAGCATCATACCAATTACAACAATGTCCATTATTTGAAAGCCACAATATACCTACGGAGTACACTTCTCAGAGCCTAAATGTATGTATTATCGCTATTGTGGAACATTTTATAGTTTTACATTTTTGGTAATGGTTTAATTGTCCAGCCATTGACTCTCCTATAAAACCCTGCTTGGTAGCGCTACTACAGGTTAAAAGCTCCATAGATAAGTTTACAGCTTTAAGGATTTCCTCCAACATTATTGCATATGGAACTTTCTTTAAGTAATAACATGCTAAGTGTTTCTGAGCATTTTGTGCTTTCTTTTTGAATTGAAGATGGTTCTGTGAGGGCAAGGAGCTGGAGAACTGCCCGGACATCCAGATCATCACAGACGGAGAGCATCACTCTCTGATCATCGCAGAGGCCTTCGAGGAAGATACTGGGCGCTACTCCTGCTTCGCTTCTAACTTCTATGGCACTGACTCCACGTCAGCCGAGATCTACGTCGAAGGTGGTTCTCCTGGTTCTTTTTCATTAAAGCTACTTAAAACCACTTAAAACACTGAGTGACGAAATGTGTTTTCCGTAGGTACCTCCTCTTCGGATTCTGATGGGGAACAGCGATTTGAACATGTAGCACAGTGAGTTTTTATAATTATTACCAACTTTGAGTGTCATCTACCTTATTGTAGCACTAATCGAGACATTTCTGTGATTTCAAAGGCAGCAGAATAAATCTTCTCCATCATCGAGCCAAGCTCTTTCTGCGGAAGAGGAAGACCCTCCATCATCTGACCCTGCAGCAGCCATCGAGGAGCCAGCAGAGCAGATCGTCTCTGCACAAACTAACCAAATAATCCCCGAACCTCTGCTACCAGTGAGGACACCAGCCACCATACTTTCAGTCGTTGAGCCTTTGAATGCATCCGTAACACCTTCAGCACTCCCTGTTCAAGAGGAACCAACATTGGAAGAGCTAATAGTGTCGCAGGTGCAGGTGTTTCCTACTTCATCTCCAGGCGAAACAGGACTTTCAGAAGCCCAGGAGGTGTCTGTTACATCTCCTCCTCCTCCAGTGGAGACGGCTGCAGCAGAAGCTCTATCACTGCTCCAGAACTCAGTGGTCTCCTCTGTGCTGTCCCCTCCATCACAAACACTCCAGCCTGAGGTAGAAGAGCTCAAACACTGCCTTCCTCTATAACAACAATGATCACTTTTGTATATGTATATCAACCTGCCTCTGTGTTTGTCTTTAATCATCAGAGTCAAACCTCTACCTACACCTACCCTCAAGTGTTGAACGGCCAACCTATCATGGCTGCCCCTGTATTCACAAAGGTAGGGATATTTTCAGATGACTGTACACTGCTGCTGTCTGGTATGTGTACATTAATGTAACACTCCCTGTGTTGTCCCTCCAGAGCCTGCAGGACCTCCTTGCGTCAGAAGGCCAGCTGGTGGTGCTAGAGTGCCGTGTGAAAGGGGTGCCGTCACCACGAGTGGACTGGTACAGAGATGGAACATTCATAGAGGACTCTCCTGAACACAGGATCCTGCAGAAAAGTAAGCTCTGCCACACTACTGTCATATTGTGGAAAGTGGTAATGTTTTTTGTATTGGTGAAAAGGACAAAGGAGGTGAGATGTAAAACTACAGTACATAATAATAGATGGAATCATGAATATAGACTAATGAGACAAAACACACAAAATCAAGCCAATAAAACAAGCTGACAATTAGTAAAAGCACTTGTTGTTTCAAAAGGGTGGTTATGTTAGGTGTCTCTGTATGTGTATGAGTGTATATTTAACTCATAAAGAAGAGACAGGCAGGAAAAGGGAAGCCTGAGCAAGTAATAATGATATACAAATTAATTACAACTATAAAAATAACATGTCATTCCTTGTTTCATATTCGTTTTTCTTAATTGTGAATGAATTCAAATGTAAAGACTTCATTGTTTCCTAAATAAGTCAATTGAATACAGATTCTTGCAGTTTAATGTTCTCTAAAACCTTGGTGTTGCTGGGAAGAACATAGTAAATAAATAGTGATGCTTAATTTAACACAATACTATTATGTTTATCGCCTTATTGAGTGTAAGAACTGACTTTCATTGCAAGTAAAAAATAGTTTTTTAAATGTACTCTTTTCTTCCAAGGCCTGATTTTGTAATGTATGGACTAAAGGCGGGGTGATGAGTCCTAAGAGCTCAAATATATGCATAGTACTTTAAAGGAATTTCAAATACTGTAAACTGTATATTGTCATAAAAGTTTTGAAATGTTTCTGTCATAAATACAATTTTTTTATTTCTTAAGGGAAAAAAACGAATGAAAATCAACTTGCATCAATAGTTTATGCTTTCTGATAACTGATAATAACAATTCTCTGAGAAGTGCAGAATATTTATTGCGTTTTCATAACGATAATGGTTTTTGTTTCTGTTCCAGAGCCCAGGTCTCCAGCTGAATCAGGTACACACTAAATCCTCATCAGTCACAAGATGTTGACTGCACTAAAGCAGCTGCCTGTCTGTATATGATGCTGCAGTGTGTACATATTAATCTGCAAGTGTTTATAGTCCTTGGCGAGAGCTCCTGCTCTTCTTCAGTAAACCAGGGCTGCTGTTCTCTGAGTGTGGACCATATAAGGTCGTCTCTCATCCTGAGTGAAAACACTATGGCAGATCACTGCAACTTGCCTTACTGTAGCTGCACACACACTCTCAGTAACCTCACTGCAAGGCATCCGAAACACAAGTCATGTATCTTTCTCTGTTTAAAGTTAATAAGATACCATGCCAATTGATTATGTGATTATTTATTTATTTTTTACTACTTCTAGAGGACATATGCACTCTGGTCATTGCTGAGGTCTTTCCTGAAGATTCAGGGATGTTTACTTGTACAGCAAGCAACAATTATGGAACCGTGTCCAGCGCTGCAGCACTGAGGGTCACAGGTAACACTTAAGGTTTACTTCCAGATTTGATGTATTCTTATAAAAGTGCAATATTGACACCTGTAATTCTCATCAGGCAATCCCAGCAACAGTAACCATGTGAGGCCTTCCAGCAATTCGATGCTGGAGCCAAACCGAAGCCAAGAACCTTCCCCCGCCCCCCCTGTAAACCTTCAACCAAAGGTTAATATGACCACCAGCGTCAAGCCCCACTCCAGCACCATCCGCCTGGACCCTCTCATCTCCAGCAGCGTACGCCTGGACCCGTTGAGCACCAGCACCCTCCGTTTGGACCCCCTTGGATCCAGCATGCTGCGCCCAGACCCCTTCCGCTCCAGTCTCCCCAGCCTGGAGCCCTCCAGCCTCATCAGCAACTTCAACTCTCGCAGCACCAGCACCCCCAACTTAGATCCTATCAACCTCCATCAGAACCATCCTTCACCCAGTGGAGCAGGTGCAGAACCACAGAGCAGCAGACAGGCGCTCTCCTACCTGAAACCCTTCACTTATCCATTCTCTGTTGGGACGGTAGCAGAGCAGGAAGCGCCCACGCCTTCAGTGACACCACCCGACACCAGCGCCACAGTGAAGGTGACCCCTAACCATCAGAATGGGAGCCTCATCGTGCTGCCCCTGCCCGACCCCCCTCCAAACTCCTGCCTGAAGACTCGAACGAAACCCAAACACTCCCGCTCCGGGTCTCGGCGCGTCCACTTCAGACTGCCGGAGGAGGAGGAGCAGAGTGACACGTCCAGCAGTCAGTGTGATGAAGACCCCAACATGTCGCTCAACAGGGAACCTCCACCTGTGCGGGCTAAACCCAAACTGTGAGTAGAGCTGATAAAGAAGCAGATCAGACTTTCAGCCTTGTGCTGAGACTATGAAACCAGGATGTTTCAATATACTGTATAATATTAAATCATGATATCATGCTAATAATACATAGGATACGATCGTGAAAATTATCTAGCAAATTGTCAATGAAACACTCTTATTTGATGTTGTAATAATTAGCCAAAAAAGAGACAAAGCGCACATTAAACAAATGAAAGATGACTTTGATTGGAAGTATTCAAATAATTAATTAACATTCTTTATAGATATAGCAATAATATCATCAAGCAAAGACATTATCCTCCAGGACATTGAGAAAAAGCTTTGACTGAGAGACGACACTCAACATTTTTGCACATCAACAGGTACCGACAGTCTCCAGCTCTGCAGCTCGGATAGATTCCTAACTTTTTTGACTTAAATATAATAATGCAAACAACTTACATTAACAAAACATATTTTAAAAGATTAAGCTCAGCCCAAAATCTGTAAATCCAATGAATTCAGATAAAGCATTTTGCATGCACTGTCAATTCTGAGAGTTTGGGGTGTTTTGCTTAGAAAACATATGTTCTTTGAGACTAGTGGAAATGCAACATCCCAAAAAATGTAGGAGTCTACTAACATGGTCTATTTGCGTTCGTAGATGTATTACATAGTGGATCATTTGCAGTATTAAACAATAGAAAATCCAAACAGTTGTTATTCAAAACTTGATAAATGTTTTCCCTTAATATAGATATTCAACTGACTTTGACTGGAAGTATTAAAATAATTAATTCACATTCTTTATAGATATAGCAATAATACCATTACCATAAATTATTTTGGACACAATAATTGGAAATGGAAAATGCGTTATTGTTAAAGCCTTTCTGTCAGAATGGTCTAGAGCAGTCATGGTATAGTTATAGTATGATTAGTTATCCATATTGGGTCCACAGTTTGTCAGTATCAAAGTAGATCAGCTGGGCTGTGTTGAAGTTGGGGGGGGGGTCCTGCTCCTCCTCTGGCTCATCTCACCGCTGTAATCAGATGCAACTCATACATGAACACAGGCGGACTTCAAATGTGGACCTTTCAGCTTTCAAAAACTAGGGATGGCGTTTTCTATTTGTAAGTGTACTTTTATGCGTTTATGTTTATCTAATATATCAGATAATGCTGTAAACAAAATCTTGAAGGGTTTGATTAGCTGCTATGTACCCGTTATGCTTAAAATACAAAGATAAATATGACAATTTATTTAGCGTAAGCTTAATTTGCAGTAATCCTAATAACTAAAATAATTACCAGTTAAGTATGAAAGCTGGAAATGCGTAGAGCTTGTTTTGCAGGCTACTTGTTTGTAGTCCATACATGGGCAGAGTGTTCTTCGTGCTGACTCTGGCTCAGTCCTGCTGGGTTTATAGCGTGGACTTAATTTATGAGAGCAGTGTACTGAGCCGCTCTGATTCTCACCATGTATAGTGTCGTTTTTTGGCTGTTCTTTAAATGTAGTTTTGCTTTGATCAACAGGGACCCGACCCAGCTGCGGATTCTGCACAACCAGGTCCTCATGGAGCAGCAGCAGGACCCTGAACCTCAAACACCCCCCCACCCTCTGTCCCAACCTCTGTCCCAACCAAAACCTCAGCCTCAGCCCCAGGCCCAACTTCAGCCACCATCTCTGCCCCAGCCTCAGTCTCACCCCCTACCCCAGACTCTGTCCCAACCAAAGCCTCACCCTCAGCCCCAGCCGCAACCACAACATCAGTCTCAGCTTCAGTTCCATCCCCAGCCTCAGTCTCCCCCACACCCCCAGACTCAGTCTCTGCCCCAGCCTCAGTCTCTGCCCCAGCACCAGTCTCAGTCTCTGCCTCAGCACCAGCCCCAGTCTCTGCACCAGCCCCAGCCTCAGTCTCTGCCCCAGCACCAGTCTCTGCCCCAGCACCAGTCTCAGTCTCTGCCTCAGCACCAGCCCCAGCCTCAGTCTCTGCCCCAGCCTCAGTCTCTGCCCCAGCACCAGCCTCAGTCTCTGCCCCAGCACCAGTCTCAGTCTCTGCCTCAGCACCAGCCTCAGTCTCTGCCCCAGCACCAGCCCCAGCCTCAGTCTCTGCCCCAGCACCAGCCCCAGCCTCAGTCTCTGCCCCAGCACCAGCCCCAGCCTCAGTCTCTGCCCCAGCACCAGCCCCAGCCTCAGTCTCTGCCCCAGCACCAGCCCCAGTCTCCCCCACACCCCCAGCCTCAGTCTCACCCCCAGGCTCAGCTCATGACCTCCTCCCTGGTGACCTCCCCTCCACCTGCCCCACAGCTGAAAACAGCTCCACCCGTCAGCATAGCTCATGTAACCCAGATGAACACCATCCATGCCTCCCACCTCAACCTGACCCCTGCAGCTCTCGCCAAAACTCCCCCTACACCGCAGTTTTTCTCTGCTTTTGCACCAAAGTTTAGCGCAGCCTTAACAGATCTGTCCTCGGTCACTTCTCCTGCTCCCTTCCTGAGAAGCACCCACGCCTCCCTCATGAACCTCACCCCCACCTCTCACTCCTTCAGCTACGCCCGGCCTAAAGAGTTCATAGCAGCCCAGAGCTTCTCCCCGGTCAGGAGTCCTTCCCCGACAGAATCTCCGGTCCCTCTTCTCCAGGAACTGGCCGCTGAGCTCAACTCCTCCTCCGCCAGCTCCCCCACCCTCCCGCCTTTCTCCCCCCCATCCGGGACCTTCACCACCAGGGTGCTCAAGTCTCCCACCAGCCCTCAGTCTCTCGTGTCCTCACCCACACCTCTGTCGCCGCCCTACCTGAGCAGCATGTACGCCATGCGAACCCAGTCGCCCCTCCAGGCCTCCTCTCCCACCTCCAGCAGCTCCACCTCCACCTCCAGCCCCATTCAGAACCCTGTGGCGTTCCTGAGCTCCGTCCTGCCCTCCCTGACCCCGACTCAGCCCACCAACTCTATGGGCCTGCCCAGGGGAGCTCCCATGGGGTACGCCCTCCCCTCTCTGACCAACGCTCATCAGATTAGTGAACTGTCCAATCTTCTAAAACCTTTTTTCCCTTCTGTCTCCTCAGGCTAAAAAAGAGCATGCAAAAGGCACGCATCCCGTCATATGAAGACATTCGGGAAAGCAGAGAGAATATCCTCCAGGACATTGAGAAAAAGCTTCGACTTAGAGACGAAACTCAACATTTTGCACATCAACAGGTAACAAGCAGTCTCCAGCTCTGCAGCTCGGATAGATTCTAACTTTTTGACTTGTAGAGACGTAGTTGGTCATACATATATTAATACAATCAATTTACATACACAACAAATATTTGACAAGATTAAGCTCAGCCCAAAATCTGCAAATCCAATTTATTCAGATAAAACATTTTTGCATGCACTGTCAATTCTGAGAACTTGGGATGTTTTGCTCACAGAGCATATTTTCTTTGAGACTAGTGGAAATGAAACATCCCCAAAAAATGTCTATTTGCGTATGTAGATTTCTCCACAAGTAAGCATTACATAGTGGATCATTTGCATATTTAAACAGTACAAAATGAAAACACTTGATAGGTGTTTTCCCCTTAATGTAGGTAATCAACTGTGAAAGTTTCATGGTGATATTTATCAAATTAATATTTATTTCTTTTACACCTGAGTTATGTAAAATGTAGGGAATTTTACAACGTGAGGGTTTTGTTTATACATTCAACTTGTAATACACTAAATGGTTTTCATAAATTAATATAACTATTCAATCTGGAGTTTCTCCTTAAAGGGGTCCTATTGTGCTTTTTGAACATTAAAGCATGTAAACAGTAGAGGCACAAAATACAAATATGATCCTGAAAATAAACATAATAGGGCCCCTTTAGATACATATAAAGTGGACTTCAACATCCATTACATCCCTGCTCAGATAAAACTGAGTCTACTGTGTCTATTGATCATCATGTTTGTTGACACGTATATATGTATGTTGTCACATTTTAACTAACCAACTGTTGCAATCAATTTATTTGATCCTTTAAAGGATAAATGTTACTGTATATTAACCACAACTGTGCTGCATTCTCATTTGTCTCCAGGTTTATTCTCATGTATTCATGTTGAAATGAATACATACGTGTCAGATGACAAAAGCATTGACTCTGAGGCAGTGAGGGACTTGATTTTATTCAGCATCAGCCATCATTCCCTCCCCAGTCATTCCTTGTTATGTGTCTATGTAGCTTAACAAATCACGCACGCTCTTAACAATTAGTGTGTGTGTGTGTGTTATTGATGTTTGTTGTAGAGTGTGTGTGTGTGTGTGTGTCTCAGTTGGTGTTCATCATCCATCCCTATCCCTCTCATAGAAGCTGAGTAATGAGGGGAAAACAGCGAGCAGACCCCTTGGACCAAACATTCCTGCTACTGCCTTTACCTATGATGAGGTACAAGGACCCCCGTCCCAAGCACGGCTTTGCTCCAGGCTGTATGGGTTAATAAAATGTGTCAGAACAAGATTACGACACTCTACTCTAAATACCACGGATAATAAATATCTAATCTCGCATTCAAGCCTCTGCACTAATATAACCTGCACGAATAATCTCGTAAAAATAATTGTAGGGTTAGAATGCATTAAGCTAATGAAATGTCAGTTATCTTGCGTGTAGTGGAGTTATCTCCAGTTTCACTAAACCATTTCACATTTCCCCCACTGAAGCTTGCAGCCTCTTTTTTCTGTTTGCGTTTCAGATTTGACCAAAATACCAAAATGGAAATCTTTCTTCTTCGCAACACAAAAAAGTATTTTTACAAACTGTCACACTTTTTGTTTACTTCCTTAATAAGCTGTATATTCATACTATAATTCTGTTAATTTTTAATAATTAGTTTGCAAACTGGATATGGATTGCTAATATACACTGAACAAAAATATAAATGCATCTGGGGGGGTCCGAAAACCAGTCAGTATCTGGTGTGACCACCATTTGCCTCACGCAGTGCAACACATCTCCTTCGCATAGAGTTGATCAGGTTGTTGATTGTGGCCTGTGGAATGTTGGTCCACTCCTCTTCAATAGCTGTGCGAAGTTGCTGGATATTGGCAGGAACTGGAACACGCTGTTGTATACGCCGATCCAGAGCATCCCAAACATGCTCAATGGGTGACATGTCCGGTGAGTATGCTGGCCATGCAAGAACTGGGATGTTTTCAGCCTCCAGGAATTGTGTACAGATCCTTGCAACATGGGGCCGTGCATTATCATGCTGCAACATGAGGTGATGGTCGTGGATGAATGGCACAACAATGGGCCTCAGGATCTCGTCACGGTATCTCTGTGCATTCACAATGCCATCAATAAAATGCACCTGTGTTCGTCGTCCATAACATATGCCTGCCCATACCATAACCCCACCACCACCATGGGCCACTCGATTCACAACATTGACATCAGAAAACCGCTCACCCACACGACGCCACACACGCTGTCTGCCATCTGCCCTGAACAGTGAAAACCGGGATTCATCCGTGAAGAGAACACCTCTCCAATAGGGCTGAACGATTAATCGATTTTAAATCGAAATCCCGATTTTAAATGATGCGATTATCAAATCGCAAAGCCTGCGATTTTTTGTTTTTACAATTTTTTTGTATTTTTTAAACAATTTAAAACAATTTTTTTTTATTGTGTGTCAGTCATCCACACCAATCGGAAGTGCTGTGCTCCACATGTACCAGCCATTGTTAATCAATCAGAAGTAGCCCATGATAGAAGGTGATAGACAGATTGATCCAATCACCTGCCAAGTGCTTTTGAAAGTGCCTGCCCTTTCCAAATGGCTTCCAATGGAGCTTTCCTAGATGGTTTGGGGAAACAAACCATTTGAATCAGGTTAGTAATGCTCCATCACATGTTTCTATTACAGGGTGAATCTTAAACTGAAGCTTGACTTTAAAGCAACCCAACGGAAGTTTCATGTAACTTTAGTTTTTTCACTCGTAGCTCGGGCTGCGGGGGTGCTAGAGACGGGAGCACGTTGATACGACCTTCCTAGCCGGAGTTATGCAATAGTATGAAGCTGCAGCGTCGGAGGCTGAACTCTCAGGACCGCACTCCCACGACCCTAGTTGTTTTGCGTATTATGTTGTGTACTTACCATAGACTGTATATATAAAGTAACATATTATATCTTATATTATTAATATATGTATATAAATAATTCTGATAAAATGTTATTCCAGCGTCAATAAATGAGTGTTAAACCCAGTGTGTTTAGTGTACAACATCACATGTCATTTCACGGTTTTCAAAACGTTAGCCACATGCTAATGCTAACCGGAAATGAAGAATCTTCAGAATAAAAGTGTTAAATTAATAGTTAGTGAACTTTCGGGTTTTTCAGAATAAAACTGCTTTAAATTAAAACCCTGTATTTAATTTAAATTACGTCATATCAACATTGAAACATTGAGGTTTGGGAGGGAGGAAGGAAGATTAGGATTAGGTAAAAAGGTAAAAAGGTAGGGAGTGGTTAGGGTTAGGATGGGGGGAAGGGAAGGGTTAGATTGCGCACTGCATTGAAGGGCTTCAGGCGTTCATGTGAACGTGCTCCGTCACGTGCCACCGTGACGTGCTCCGTCGGACCTGTGTGTGCGGTTCTACAAGTGCAGTCCTGTAACTGCTGTCTCCGACGCTGCAGCTTCATGCTACTCGAGTTATGGCCATATTTTACAATAAACTTCCGTTGGGTCGCTTAAAAACAAATATCGCAATTCGAATCGTAATTGCAATATTTGTCAGAAAAATCGCAATTAGATTTTTTCCCAAAATCGTGCAGCCCTACTCTCCAACGTGCCAGACGCCATCGAATGTGAGCATTTGCCCACTCAAGTCGGTTACGACAACGAACCGGAGTCAGGTCGAGACCCCGATGAGGACGACGAGCATGCAGATGAGCTTCCCTGAGACGGTTTCTGACAGTTTGTGCAGAAATTCTTTGGTTATGCAAACCGATTGTTGCAGCAGCTGTCCGAGTGGCTGGTCTCAGACGATCTTGGAGGTGAACATGCTGGATGTGGAGGTCCTGGGCTGGTGTGGTTACACGTGGTCTGCGGTTGTGAGGCCGGTTGGATGTACTGCCAAATTCTCTGAAACGCATTTGGAGACGGCTTATGGTAGAGAAATGAACATTCAATTCACGGGCAACAGCTCTGGTGGACATTCCTGCTGTCAGCATGCCAATTGCACGCTCCCTCAAAACTTGCGACATCTGTGGCATTGTGCTGTGTGATAAAACTGAACATTTTTAGAGTGGCCTTTTATTGTGGCCAGCCTAAGGCTGCAGCCACACGAGGACAAAAACGACCATTCGGCCACACGAGGACGACCGCATATGGCACTAAACGACTGAGGAAACGATAACGGGTCCCAAGGTAGATAGAACGGCATACGCAACGCTCTGGGGGGTCAAACAGCTCCGTGTGTGCGCCCTATACGATCATTTTCTGATAATGATTGCGCAATAGCCCCGCCTCTCCCCACCTCTGCTGCTCACCTCCGCGTACCCCGCGCCATTGCTGATGTGTTTCGCCACCAACAACAACAACAATGGCGGATCGCAGAGTTGCTATCGTGCTCCGGACGCTACTGACCATGCTACAGTTCTTTGTGCAACATCTACAGCAGACTTACACATCCGGGGGGATCTTACTCGCTGCTTTTGTGGATATATACTGCAGCTTCAGCGATCATTTTCTGATAATGATTGCGCAATAGCCCCGCCTCTCCCCACCTCTGCTGCTCACCTCCGCGTACCCCGCGCCATTGCTGATGTGTTTCGCCACCAACAACAACAACAATGGCGGATCGCAGAGTTGCTATCGTGCTCCGGACGCTACTGACCATGCTACAGTTCTTTGTGCAACATCTACAGCAGACTTACACATCCGGGGGGATCTTACTCGCTGCTTTTGTGGATATGTACTGCAGCTTCAGCGATCATTTTCTGATACTGCTGCTCACCCCCGCGTCAAAGTAAACTGCACACTGAATTCAGATTATGTATCTTTCTCTCGATATGGACATAAACGCGAGTGAAGTCTAATCTGACAGGACGGAGACACCTCTCAAACTACCTAAACTAGTTATAAATATGTTTATTTTTACTGTCGGCCGGGTCACTCATTACTGGATCAGCTGCTGCATGAGACAGACACTGACGCTGTCCAAAGAGAGGGTGGAAAAAGAGAGGCTCCATGTATTTTTATTATTATATTATATAGAGTCGTTATTCATTTGTTTTAAAGCTCAATAAATAACAAAGAAGACCTTTGACCGGCACTTTTATAATTTTGTCGGTAGGTTTAAACTTTAATACACGTTGACTGGCGAAAAACTCTGCCCGGTTCCCTCGGCCCCCACCGCGGAGAATAAACAGAAGGGCAACCATGACAACCATGCTTCTTCGCTGCTTTTGTGGAGGAAGTTACAGCGCCACGTACAGGCTCCTGCATATGTACTGCAGCTTCTCCAGCGGTTGGAGCTAAACGGAGCGGTCTCGTGTGGGCAGACACTATCCGGATAACTATTGCGTGTGGACGGAAGCTTGTTTGCGATTGCGTTTGCGTTAATCCTATGCGTTTAGCCGTTTTCGTCCTCGTGTGGCCGGGGTCTAAGGCACACCTGTGTAATAATCATGCTGTCTAATCAGCATCTTGATATGCCACACCTGTGAGGTGGGATGGATTATCTCGGCAAAGGAGAAGTGCTCACTATCACAGATTTGTTCAGATTTGTGAACAATATTTGAGAGAAATTGTTATTTTGTGTATATAGAAAATGTTTTAGATCTTTGAGTTCAGCTCATGAAAAATGGGAGCAAAAACAAAAGTATTGCATTTATATTTTTGTTCAGTGTAAATTGCAACTCATCATTACAATACCTTATTAATTGGTTAACACATCGTATTAAATCATGTATAAACAATATTTAGATATATAATTTTTTGTATCAAAAAGTTAATATAGTATATAACTTTATTGTTATTATTTTAAAATATATAAATTTTATATATAATATTAAATGATTGTACTTGTAATTGTTTATTTCTTGCATCAGCTATGATATACGTATATCATTTCTAAAATAATGATTTCATATTACACAAACCAAAATAACCCAAATTACAGCATTACTAATAATTAGTAAACATTATTCATCATCATAACATTGTTAACAGTAAATTCATTATGAACTACATACATTTAATACCAAATGAAATAAAGCCTTTCATTAAGTAAATACTGTCTTTACATTTCACACACTTTTCACAGGTTCATCTTCTCTGTTCACTGTTTTACCTTCAGCCCTATTTTATGGTTGGATGAGCAACATGTTTTGACCAACCAGGAATGATGCCGTCAGGCAGATGCAACTGCATGATTCTCATCATCTTGTGGTTTAAAGTCACAATCTGTACCTCTCTGTTTGAATTGCAGATTGTTACTTTAACGGTTGCTAAATGATCAAAGATGCACGTTGTCTCATGTTCCTGATTGTTGCATTCCTTTCAGAAGCATTTGTGTCTTATCCCAGTTAGTCAATCGTCTATCTAGTGCAACGTGACTTTTTTGTTGTTATTTTTTCTTTTCCAAGGAGTACAAAGTGTCCAATTTTGAGCAGAGACTTATGAGCGAGATTGAATTCCGTTTGGAGCGGACGCCGGTGGAGGAATCGGACGATGAGGTGCAACACGATGACGTCCCTACAGGGAGATGCATCGCGCCCATATTAGACAGAAAACTGAAGAACTACAGGGCCATGGAGGGCGTGCCCGTCACTTTCTCATGTAAAGTAGTGGGAATCCCTTTTCCAAAGGTGAGAGGTCAACCGTATGCAACATGATCTGTCACGCTCATCCTTATCATTTTATCATCCACATCCTCTGTGTCTCAAAAGGTGTACTGGTTCAAGGATGGCAAGCAGGTGTTAAGGAAGAACGTCCATTACAAGAAAATAAGGGAGAGGGACGGGACCTGTGCTCTTCACATAGAGACCACCACCCAAGACGACGATGGCAACTACACCATCATGGCATCTAATCCTCAGGTGATACTTCACACTTCCTGTTTATGTTCTCAACAGTTTCCCTCCAGCTGCACTTCCTGATGTTTGATATTTAATGACCAACAGGGACGGATCAGCTGCTCGGGTCATTTGATTGTCCAATCGGGACCTCCCCGAAACCGAATGACACCTATTAGCTCTCAGAGGTGAGCAGTGTGCAGTGTGAGACGCAGAGGTAAGAAGACTTGCAGCATGAGGAACCAGCCAAGTTCTGATCTTACTTCCTGATAATAATCCTATTTAATGATCAATACAAACGTGTTAGCATACGCCACAATTAAGTCTATACTGGATACATGTCTAAGCTGGTTTTTGGCCCCATAACTGTGTTGGCAGGAAGTAAATGGCTTTAAAAAAAATTAAAAATGCCATAAAATGTACCTAAACCATAGCAAATAGATGTAGCCATTAATAATTATTAAAAAAACAACAACATACATGTATAGTTCTGTTTTTAGTTTGCGTCTTCATTTAGTTACTTTCCCTATTTATTTACTCTTATTACATTTTCTTTCTTTAATATTAATTATAACATGTAGTGACACATGTTTTCATTTACTAATTTATTTGAGATATTTATGTTTATTTCAGTATTTTGCCCCCTATTTATATTCTTCAAACTTATCTATTTCTGTTTTATTTTGCCATGTATTTCTTCTTCTTCATAATACAAATGAGGGTGCTGTCATTCAAAGTGTGACCTGGGGTCATTTTATCTCCTATGGGTTGTTGGAGGCATGCATGGATGTACTATACTTTGGTTCCGTCCTCCATACATCACATGCTGCTCACCTTTCACAGGGTGCGAGCCCGCATACAGGAAGTTGAGAGTGAGCAAACCCAGGAGCGCTTTTTCCAGCCTCACTTCCTCCAGGCTCCGGGGGACATGCTGGCTCACGAGGGCAGACTATGTAGGCTAGACTGTAAGGTAGGCAGCAGGTCCTTAATGTAATACAAAAGTATTTCATGTTTGCCTCACCTTCCTTTAACATTTCGATGTGCTCCAGGTGAGCGGCCTCCCTAACCCAGAGCTGATGTGGTTGGTCAACGGGAGGCCAATCTATCCGGATCTTCTGCACAAGATGCTGGTGCGGGAGAATGGCGTCCACTCTCTGGTCATTGATCCTCTGACGCAGAATGATGCTGGGACATACACGTGCATTGCAAGCAACAAAGCAGGGCAGAGCTCCTTTAGTCTGGAGCTAAAAGTTATAGGTAAGGGCTGGAAACAGTCAAAGAAAATGAACAAATTACTCATCATAAGCAAATCAGTTATTTTGACTGTGATGTGGCTTGTTTGTAAGTTCCAGTAATACAATGAATGTCCGCTGTAGAGAAAGAGATGAAGCACTCGCCCGAGTTTGTGGAGAAGCTGCAGAACATGGGTATTCCTGAAGGGACTCCAGTCAGGCTGGAGTGTCGGGTGGTTGGTATGCCCCCTCCACTCATCTTCTGGAAGAAAGACAATGAGACCATTCCTAGAACTAAGGACAGGATCAGGTGAGTAGGAGTAAAAGGCTTTGTGTCGGTATCATGTACTAAAGGCACACGTATGAATGTTATGAAGTGGGGTTGTATGAGGTGCTTATCCGTAGTCGGTGTATTACCTACAGTAGATGGTGGCAATTAGAAAATTAAAGTACCGGTTTGGAAATAAAGCAATGTACTGCATTCGACGAGGGCAGTTGCAAAACCCATTTTAGTCAATGCTTTATTTAGAATAATTGATCTTCTGTACCTTCCTGTCAGACAGCCCTCTCCAACAGGGAACTGAAATGTTATCTATGCTTTCTTCAAGCCACCAGACTTAACATATAGAGTGATTTTACCTTGCAGAACACTGAGATATGTTTTGATGCTGCTCCAATCCACAGCAGTACATTGCTAAGCTAGTTGCTAAACTAGCTTATCCTGTCTGTTTCTCTAAGCTTGGGGCTAGAAGACATGCCAGCTACTGTACCTTTTTAAAACCCCATGCCTAAAAATATATTTAATAGTTTCAAAGATCTTTATTGGAATTGGAATGAATTCTCCATGATCTGTTTATTTCAGCATGACACAGGATGCAACAGGATATGTGTGTCTCCTCATCCAGCCAACAACTAAAGAGGATGCCGGCTGGTACACAGTATCAGCAAAAAACGAGGCTGGAATTTCCTCCTGTACCTGCAGGCTTGATATCTATGGTGAATATCTTTTATAGCTGTAAAACTATCAGCTTTAATAAGAATGTTGCCAAATTTTGTAGTTTGTCACTCGAAGTAGTAATACTAGCTATCTGCTGCGCCTCCAGCACAGTGGCATCAGAGCATCCCTGCATCCATGAAAAAAGCTCCGCGCACAGGCAGCTGCTACGCAGCTCTGACGGGACAGGGGCTCGACATCAAGTCAGCTTTCCCCACGTCAGACAACAACCCCTTCCTGTTCTCCAGCTCCCCTCGTGAGGCCATGCTGGAGAGCGAGGAGCTGTGAACCTGCAGCATGGTGAACCTCAGGGCATGTGCTGAGGCCTCCCTGAGTTTAAACCAGTAGAGCAAATTGTCATGTGCTTTGTGTGATGCTTTTGAAGAAGAAGAAGAGGAAGAATCAACTTATTGTCATTACGCAGTACAGGTACTATGTAACAAAACGGTTTCTCTGCATTTGACCCATCCTAATGTTAGGAGCAGTGGGCTGCCATTATGTACGGCGTCCGGGGAGCAGTGTAGGGAACGGTGCCTTGCTCAGGGACACCTCGGTAGCACTTTGTCTTTCCGGGACTTGAACTGGTGACCTTCCAGTTGCCAAGCCAAGTCCCTAAGGACTTCGCCAACACCGCCCCAATTGATACACTCATGAAAGAATGGCAAAGAAAGATTGTGTTAAAGCGATCAGCACTGATAGTGGGTTTGTCACCATTCCTATTTACTCAAGTCGAGTGTTTCGCATACAGAAAAAAAAAGTTTTGCAAAGTCTTAGCTCATGAGCCATCAGTGGAATAGTGTTCTATGACGTTTGTTTTCTACATCATATTAGCTATAGTAGCAAGGGAGTTGTTTTAACATCAGTTCTTAAATGTCCTATTGAAACCCCCCTTATTTTTATTGCGAATAAGATACCTGTACTGGTAGTAATAGTTTATTTTAAAATGAATATAAAAAATAGGTTAGAGTATAGCAATGAACATTTTAATGTATAGTGTCATTTAGTGCACTTTCTTTAAATGGCTCCAGCAAGGTGGGATTCTTTCTACATAAGCCTAAATAAGTTGTTGACGTTCATCACTAGTTGATATTTTTGCACCATTTTTCATGTGCATGCATGCCAATGGCTGATGAAGATGTCATACTGTATCCCTTAAAAACACTGTCTGCTCACGGTCATAATAATACAAATATGGTGATTTCATTCTTCTTTTACTGACAACGTTGTATCTACATTTGTATCTACATTTGTATCTACAGTTCCAAATGTATTACCTGAGGAATGAGACATAGGAGACTTAAAAGCTATTTGTTTTTTGATAAAATTGTTGGCTTTGCTTTAACTCCAACATTTTTAAATGAATCTTAGAGAAGTTATAATTTAACTTTGATACAAAAAAATAAATTAAACATGTTTGAAACATTGAAGAAAAGTTGTAAAGCACATACTCAACTGATGTAAAGTTGCACATTGTAAAATAGTTTTGTCCTTCTCAGAATAAAGTTATATTTATTCAAATGAGTGTTTTCTTTGCTATAACATGTGGTTATAATATAAATAACCTGCAGTCATGTTTTCAAAATGTTCAGCGAATGATGAAGTGTTTCATTGCATCCTTCCTTTTTCTAGAATCAAATAAGGAAGAGAGATTTCAAATGTTTTTGAAGTTTGCTCTAAAATATACATTTCTACTGTCACCACTAAGAGCATTTATTGATTTGATAAAGCCCAGACATAGCACATATACTCATGTGTTGTCTTTCAATACATTTGGAAAGGAATATAACTTATGTATTTAATACAAATTTGCACTTTTTACACCACTACATTATTTAACAGCTTTAGTAAGTAAAATACATAGATTAATATTACAATATATAATCAACAAATGCATTATCATTCATTCAATATATTAGATGTATTAATCCCTTGGTGAAATGTAGAGTGTGTAGTAAAGATTAGCTTCTACAATTACAATATTATAACACAAAAACAGCATTTCATTTTTTACAATATTATAAAACATATAATACTGAAAGGTTTTTTTCTGCAGAATTAACACTTTTTGCACACTGGGTATATTTAGTTGCTAATACTTTAGGATTGAAATAAATATTTATATACAGGACCTTACCTTGTAACACAGTATTTCTATACTGTGGTATTACTTCTTTTTTTCTGAAGTAAAGGATCTGAGTACTCACTTTGTTGTAATGAGAGCCCTATTAGCCTGAACCGAAGCCAAATGCAAAACAAATAGGAAAACTCAGAAGCCAATTAAGCATTGCTAATCAGACCAATTAGAGGGGAAGAGAGTTCAAATAGGCATAAAATTACATTCACCTTCCGTGACCTAATTATACCCGGAGCCTCATCCGACCAGCTGCCAGGCTTACTTGTCAACTGGCTGCTGTGTGTGTGGCTGGGTAGTACATATCTGAGGCTTTACATGAGATGGCTTTTGTTTTTTTTAAAATCCAAAGTTTGGGATTTCATTTCCTTGAAATCTTTTATTATTCAGAGCACACTTAGACAGAAAATTGCCATGATGTTTAAAATTTGTTTTTACATTTTCTAATTGCGCAACTTGAACTGCAGTCTGGACACATTAATAACAGTATTGTTTTAAGTTTCTTACAAAACCGGCAATTAAGTCCACACAGTGGAAATCAATAGAAGTGGCCCCCTATTTTTCTCAATGCTTCTTAATTATAAGCTTATCCACACTGCTCTTTTACATTAATCCTGTAATGATAATGAGATGTATCAAGTCAAAGCAACACATGCAGAGAAAATCCTTTTTTACACTTTCTCCCGTACTGAAACATACGCTTTGTGCCCTAATCTCCATTTCTCCATAAGGAGAGCTGGATTTACCAGGGTCCATGTTTCTGTCAGAGCAGACGGTTCACTCCTCAGTTGTGACATATGGCTTTTGACAGAGAGCATGTCTCAGACAAGCCAATCATGTGAGGGGTTGCACACAAAAAATAGGGTGGAAGACACGGAAGGGCCGGGCCACGTCTGAGACGAGGCCCTCAGACAAGACAAGCAGCAGCTGGCAAACTACATCAATCTGTAATCAATGAACCAACTGGTAGATGGGATTATATGCCTAATTGCACAGCTAACCAGTCCATCCCAAAATGAGCAGACAGCATCAGCTTGTGTCCATGACCCAGTACCAGAGACGGGCATTATTCTCGGCCTCCGATAGCGATTAATCATTCATAACCTGCCTCTACAGCCAAGCTTTGGACTGTCAGGGCCAGGAGCTCACAAAGGCTGACGCAACAACAGATAAGACCCTCCAGCACGGATACAGAGTCTAAAAGTGCTCCATTAGAAGTCCACCATTTACATTTCACTTCAACGACCAATACAAAAGTATAACTCAAAATGTATTTCACTTTCAAAAGTCATATATTTATTTTTTGTCTTTGTATTGTTTTATTATTATTGTTTATTATTATTTGTATTTATTATTTATTTTAGTTTTGTCCTGTTAGTCTGTACAACACACTCTTACATTTTGGCTACACGGTCTGTTTTGGTTATAATTGTGGTTTAAATATTGTACCCCTTCAAGGGAAGATCATCTATGTATGGCTAGTAGCTTTGAAGTGTTCAATCTAACCTATCGATGTACCAAATATCTTTTCAAAGAAAGAAAAAGAAACTTTGAAAAGTACTTTTTACAGTAGATATTGTAACATATTATTATTAATATTGATGCAGTAATGTATAAACATTATTTAAATGTTTAAACATATGTAGCCGGCCAAGATGATTGCTAATTTGCACTGTTGTGGATTTTCAAATTCTATGATAAAAAACGTTTGGTTGTCGTAACTGTATACGGTAAAAATGTTTCTATAAAAGTATATTTGTTAGGGTTATTACGGGTTAACGTCAGATTTTTATTCCACGTTTTACAGTGTAAACTGAAGTTTATACCATTGTAATAAATCCTGTTGTGCCATAAAATGAACATACAATTATCATACATATTATATTTAAATAGCTTAAGATAATAGATTAATATAAAGGAGTAAAACTTTGAATATTGTACCCCAAAAGGCACTGGATTGGAAGGTATTAATGTTTATCAAAATACTCCAAGATTATTTTACTTAAAAAGTTCAGGAAATGATCGCATTCTGTTCATCTTTTTCTCTGAATGTGATGGAAATGAATGTTTTTGTGTTTCTGTGTTTTTACAGTAAACAGTCCCTCTTCTCACATCCATCCTCCTATTACAAAATACAATGTCGGCAGATGGGAAGGACCGACAGACAAATTATTCTGTCTGCCTCATTTTTCTCGGACCACCACACAGATCAATTATTTATCTCACATGCGCTTCCAAGTACAAAAGGAACATTAATGCATCCCACATACTGTGATTCCTTAGGACCCTCATAGTGGTGTATAAATGTGAATTTAATATTTCACCTGTTCACAAACTGCTCTCTAATCTCTGAGCAGTAATCTGTACACCATCATGGTCCATATTGTCAGAGCCATAATCCCCTGATGTGCTTCTAAAGGCTCTCAGGTTATGGGCCACACTTCCACTTCTGTTGCCTCGGGCTAATCTCAGATTATCTTTATTTTCACATGCAGATCAGTGAAAGGCACTTCCTTATGTCTTATGTCATTCAATAAAACCTTAAGGACCTGATGCCAAGGGGCTTCCAAACATTCTATCAAATGTATAAATAAATGTATTATTAAGTTGTAATTATTTTGGACACACATGACAGCTTAATGTAACAATGATATATGATCAATTGTATTAACATTCCCTTCAATAAATGTTACATTTTAGAACTTTTAAAATACTGAATTATGAAAATGTAAATAATGAACAAAAATAATAATTAAAACTTTCATTTTATTTTCTCTAGTTGACTATTCTTATTATTTTCTCTACTTTATTACATTTCTTCTTCACTATAATACATATATAAACATAGTAGGAGTGCTTAAACTGCATTATATGTAAGCAATTGTAGTTTTTTGTTAAATCTTGCAATAAAAATAAATAATTTGTTTATGTTTTTATTGTTATACAATAAGGTTGGAACATTTCAATCCCTTCTTTGACAAAGTAAAGTGAATTTTAAGAACAAATCAAAATAGCCTTGGTGTTTTTTTAATTTGCCAATTTAGAAGCATTGATATAGATTTCATTTAATAGCTAATAGCTGACATTAATTGTATTACATCATTTGTTGATATTCTGTTTAATTAAAAAAAACTAATAAAGATTTAAATCATTAATAGTCCATTTTAAGATTTGTATAGAATAATGCATGTTTAACTGGTAAAAGCCCACACCCTAAGCCCTTTAAAAGTTTGTTTGCACAATCAGCTGTGGTGAGTTGTGATACCAGATGGTAGATTTAGGTGTTTGTGACACATGGCCCTGAGTGAAGCCAGAGAGCCCAGCCCAAGATAATTGGAATTTCATTAAGGTTTTGTTTGTGTGTGTGTGTGTGTGTGTGTGTGTGTGTGTGTGTGTGTGTGTGTGTGTGTGTGTGTGTGTGTGTGTGTGTGTGTGTGTGTGTGTGTGTGTGCGTACTGAATGTGCATATATGTGCTTGTGTGTGTGTGTGTGTTGGTGTGTGTGTGCTGAGAGATGGTTATGAGTCTGCATGGGTGTGTTCCTCTATATGCAATATTAAGGATGGAAGGGGGTGGGGGGGGGGGACTCCACCTGCTGCCACCTGTTCATCAGCTCCATCTTATAAAAGCTGCTCCCTCTCTAGTCTCCAGGACCACAGACACCTTGGACTCTGCAGCCTGTCCACTATCTGGAGTTACACACATCTGAAAGGACACATTGAGGAGACCTGAAGTTGAAACTGGACACTAATACAACTTTGATTCTTCAACCAGAAACCATGAAGTCTAGGAGACCCAGCTGCACCGACTCCGGATCCGTGTCCTCGGAGGTAGACCCCCAGAGCCCGGAGAAGTACGAGACCTCCACGAAGCGACGGATGGCTGCCAATGCCAGAGAGAGGAAGAGGATGGAGGGTTTGAACACAGCCTTCGACCGCTTGCGTAAAGTGGTCCCCCAGTGGGGCGAGGACAAGACGCTATCCAAGTATGAAACCCTGCAGATGGCCCTCAGCTACATCCTGGCCCTCAACCGGATCCTGACAGACCCCAGGAGACACAACGCTCCTCAAAGGCAGTGGCGGGACCTGCAGTTGGACTGTGTGCAGCCTGAGAACTACGCCTGCCTCAGAAGGTACGACTCTCCCGCTGAGCAGGACTACATCTCGTCCTTCTCCTATCAGTTCGATGGACATCAGCTCCACGCATAAACTACTGCCATTCGGCACACGACCAGTCATGTTGTTGGATGTGAGTGACAATGTGAAAAAGTCTCCTTCAATCAAGGAGACAGTAAATACATTTGTATTGCATTATTTTGTATTTATCTAGTTTTTGTATGATCAGAAGGAATTCTATTTCAGTCTTATTTATTTTTGTTAGAATAAACCCAGCAATGTTGAGCATTTTTTTGTTCAAGTTATAGAAATGACAGAAGTGTAGTGTCATTATAATGCCCATGAGCTTGTACTGAAGATACAGGAAGAGGGCATTTTTTATCAGTTTTTTTGATACAGCCCTAAAAATGTTGTGCAATGTTCAATGGATTCTGAGAAAATCATTGTGGTCTAAGTTGCATTGTTAAAGTCAATATGTAACTATTTTGTCAAAGTGTAAGTACGTGATTGTAGAGTTAAAAATTGATGTTATTTTTCACATGCAGACTTCTATTTTGTTGAAATATAGTTTTTTGATCAAAAATAAAAAACATATTTTGTATGAAAAATAATTTCTCGTGTTCTCTTTTGAATATAATTTGTCCTAAGTGGAATCATCCCATTCAATTTCTGTGGAGTCAACTGTACGTAATTACTTAACATGCTATAAGCCAGTTTATAGAAAGCAAATTTCCAATATTCCATATTTTCCTTGCATCATTAAAAACCTTTATATCTGCAAAATATAAACCTGACACACTAAAAATCCTAATAGTTCTATTTACTGAATATGCATCCTTCTCTAATTGCAATCAAATATTGCTTTTATTATGAGAGAGCTCTGGCATTTAACCCCCATAATATCACATTGTGTGATAATACAACCTAAAAACACGGGTTGTCAAGGAGGAAAACTCATTTACAGCACATCCTTTGTGTTGTGGGTGTCAAGAGTAATGGCAGGTCATGTCTGCTCTCTGCCTCGCTCCGCACCCCGGGGAATAAATCAACCTTTTGTCCTGAGCTCCTGCACTCTGAGATAACACTGTTTTACGTCAATGGGGAACCAAAATAAAACATCTAAAATAGGGGTTGACAAGTACAACCATATTGCATTTTCAAATGTTCTCTACGACATATTGGATTTTAAAAGTATCAAACTTATGTACGTGGGCAAGCCAATGTAAGCAGAGCTGCACCAGGCTGCCATACGATCGCCCATTGTTGGAGACACGGCTACAGTTTTAAATGGCAATCATCAGCCGCTGAAAAGTGATTGTTATGAATTTGAAAAAGTTTGAATGGTGGCACAAGCCGCAGCAGATTAAGGAAGCCTGTGTGCCAGATCCTGCCCCGGCTTCAGAGGGGGGGCAGAAATTAAACTCTATTGTGTGGTAATGGCTGTGTGTAACCGCTCTGTTCACAGCCGCTGGAGCATGAACGGCCATAGCTGGACCCAAACTCTATCTGCATTAAGGATACGCCATATGCATTATATCCTAATATTAATAATATTGGGAATAGCTTTTGTTTTTAGATCACCTTATTATCTATTCTGTCTGGTTTAATGCCTCTAACTGCATAAAATAGAAAGATAAGAATATACAGTGGGGCAAAAAAGTATTTAGTCAGCCACCAATTGTGCAAGTTCTCTCACTTAAAAAGATGAGAGAGGCCTGTAATTTTCATCCTAGGTATACCTCAACTATGAGAGACAAAATGAGGGAAAAAAATCCAGAAAATCACATTGTCTGATTTTGAAAGAATTTATTTGCAAATTTGGAAAATAAGTATTTGGTCAATAACAAAAGTTCATCTCAATACTTTGTTATATACCCTTTGTTGGCAATGACAGAGGTCAAACGTTTTCTGTAAGTCTTCACAAGGTTTTCACACACTGTTGCTGGTATTTTGGCCCATTCCTCCATGCAGATCTCCTCTCGAGCAGTGATGTTTTGGGGCTGTCGCTGGGCAACACGGACTTTCAACTCCCTCCAAAGATTTTCTATGGGGTTGAGATCTGGAGACTGGCTAGGCCACTCCAGGACCTTGAAATGCTTCTTACGAAGCCACTCCTTTGTTGCCCGGGCGGTGTGTTTGGGATCATTGTCATGCTGAAAGACCCAGCCACGTTTCATCTTCAATGCCTTTGCTGATGGAAGGAGGTTGTCACTCAAAATCTCACGATACATGGCCCCATTCATTCTTTCCTTTACACGGATCAGTCGTCCTGGTCCCTTTGCAGAAAAACAGCCCCAAAGCATGATGTTTCCACCCCCATGTTTCACAGTAGGTATGGTGTTCTTTGGATGCAACTCAGCAATCTTTCTCCTCCAAACACGTCTAGTTGAGTTTTTACCAAAAAGTTCTATTTTGGTTTCATCTGATCATATGACATTCTCCCAATCCTCTTCTGGATCATCTAAATGCTCTCTAGCAAACTTCAGACGGGCCTGGACATGTACTGGCTTAAGCAGGGGGACACGTCTGGCACTGCAGGATTTGAGTCCCTGGCGGCGTAGTGTGTTACTGATGGTAGCCTTTGTTACTTTGGTCCCAGCTCTCTGCAGGTCATTGACTAGGTCCCCCCGTTTGGTTCTGGGATTTTTGCTCACCGTTCTTGTGATCATTTTGACCCCACGGGGTGAGATCTTGCGTGGAGCTCCAGATCGAGGGAGATTATCAGTAGGGCTGAACGATTAATCGATTTTAAATCGAAATCGCGATTTTAAATGATGCGATTATCAAATCGCAAAGCCTGCGATTTTTTTTAACATATTCTTTTTGTTTTTACAATTTTTTTATTGTGTGTCAGTCATCCACACCAGAAGTAGCCCATGATAGAAGGTGATAGACAGATTGATCCAATCACCTGCCAAGTGCTTTTGAAAGTGCCTGCCCTTTCCAAATGGCTTCCAATGGAGCTTTCCTAGATGGTTTCTGAGTCAGGTCAGTAATGCTCCATCACATGTTTCTATTACAGGGTGAATCTTAAACTGAAGCTTGACTTTAAAGCAACCCAACGGAAGTTTCATGTAACTTTAGTTTTTTCACCCGTAGCTCGGGCTGCGGGGGTGCTAGAGACGGGAGCACGTTGATACGACCTTCCTAGCCGGAGTTATGGCCATATTTTACAATAAACTTCGGTTGGGTCGCTTAAAAACAAATATCGCAATTCGAATCGCAATCGCAATATTTGTCAGAAAAATCGCAATTAGATTTTTTCCCAAAATCGTGCAGCCCTAATTATCAGTGGTCTTGTATGTCTTCCATTTTCTAATAATTGCTCCCACAGTTGATTTCTTCACACCAATCTGCTTATCTATTGCAGATTCAGTCTTCCCAGCCTGGTGCAGGTCTACAATTTTGTTTCTGGTGTCCTTTGACAGCTCTTTGGTCTTGGTCATAGTGGAGTTTGGAGTGTGACTGTTTGAGGTTGTGGACAGGTGTATTTTATACTGATAACGAGTTCAAACAGGTGCCATTAATACAGTTAACGAGTGGAGGACAGAGGAGGCTCTTAAAGAAGAAGTTACAGGTCTGTGAGAGCCAGAAATCTTGTTTGTTTGTAGGTGACCAAATACTTATTTTACCGAGGAATTTACCAATTAATTCATTAAAAATCCTACAATGTGAGTTCCTGGATTATTTCCCCCCATTCTGTCTCTCATAGTTGAAGTGTACCTAGGATGAAAATTACAGGCCTCTCTCATCTTTTTAAGTGGGAGAACTTGCACAATTGGTGGCTGTCTAAATACTTTTTTGCCCCACTGTACATAGAAAAACTAATTAGAGATGACATACATTATATAGCTAAAGTATTAATTAGTTAATCTGTTTAACACATTGTTGACAACACTTAATGCATATTGTCTACGTGTTGCTTGGGGATTGTTTGAAGAAGAGAGGCCGAAAACTGATACAGATGGTCATAATGATTCAAACGCCACGGCAAATGTTTGCATACTTAATAAACGCTTCCTGACAGTTGGCCCGTTGGAAATCAATAGATGGCAGAGTCAAAAGTGTGTAACGGTAACGAGGCGGTGACACTGCAATTACACTCCTCATTAATTCAGACACAAGCCGCAAACAGTTGGTGACAACAAAAATAATCGAAGTGCAATTAATTGATTTCCTCAATGGGAGCAGGTTATTGGATGAGTTGTTAATCAATAGTGACAACAATGTGCTCAGCATGGAAGTAATTGAGAGGGCAAAACTATTTGAATTGTCTTTTAGCGGCTGAATTATTCCGCCATTATGCAAATTGTGCTCCAGCATATCAATAGGTGAATATAAGGGAAATACAAATCTATAGAATGAATTTCCTTAGTGTTTTTATAATTCAGCTCGTTAGTGCCAGTTTAAAGATGGGTTGTTATCATAGTTTGTACATTTATTGTATTGAACCAAATTGCCTATTGCTAAGATGAAAATGATCAAATCAAATCTAGGTGACTTTGTTTTGGGAAACCTTGCTGTGGTGTCCATGCACAACAGGACACACGCACGTCATTGCTGTGTTTGGTCTCAATCTCAAGGCTACAAAAGCTCCAGAAGCAGCTCCTCCCTCAACAAAGCTTTTGTCATCCACTCTTTATAAACATCTCTCCAGCAAGTGTACAGAAACCACTCTGCCTCCCTTCCCTCTTTGATCTGAATACCAGCAGTCCACTGAGGGACACACAGGTGTGTAACAGCATGAAGTGCCTGAACAACCGGGCCGACAGCCATCTGACCGGGCAGGTGGAGCTGGACAGCATGGGAAACGAAGCCTGGGTCAACCACGGCTACTGTGGCTCTCCTCCGGCCCTGCCTCGAGCTGTCAGCACCATCTACAACCCCCAGCCCCTCTTCCAGGGCTCTATGGACAGTATGTACAAACTGGACACCCCAGGCCCGTTCCCAGAGGAACCAGCATCCACCGGCCAAAGTCTGGTGAAGAAACCAAGAGGCTGCTGCTCTTTTATCAAAGGTGGGAACTCATTCAGTTTACTTCAGTATTTATTCTGTAATATGTACAGCTAGTTTAATCAGCATGGATAGATGGATAGCATCAAAGATCTTGACAAAACCCTTTATCTTACAGGAAACTTTCTCTGGTTCTGTAAATTCAACTGATGTGATTTTAGTTACCTTGCATTTTTGTGGACGATCTCGTTGGCTAGTCAATTTAGGCTTGGTTTTTAATTGCTAAACAACTTTATGTCAACACCAGATCAAAGTTATTTTGCATGAAAGGTCTTTAAAATAACTTCTTAAATCATACAGTATCATAAGAAAATAAATCACTGTAACTTGTCCGTAGGCTTATGGGGCACAACCTTGACTGAAAACACCTCAAACAACAGAGAACTGTTTGTCCGAACCACGCTACGGGAGTTAATGGTCTATCTGGTGTTCCTGGTGGATATATGTCTCTGTAAGTATTCTACTGTCCTACATTTTGCACTTTCAATGTGGATGTCTATCCTTTTGCAGTTGTGGTAGTCTAACAAGCATTTTCATTACAGTCTTTGTATTAATATTAATATTACCAGAAATGTGATATTCGAAGAAAAGTTGAGAAAATGTATTTAAGTTTAGTTGTACATGTGTTTACCTGGATTGAATATAATAATAATAATAATAATACATGGGATATAGCTCTTTTCCTAATGCTCAAAGACGCTTTACATAAAATCAGAACAGAAACAAGACAAAGAAAACAAAATATATATGAAACTAGTGGAAATTACATCAAAATTAGTTCCAAATACAAACGGTTTGCTTTTCCTGCATGAATGGTCCATAATGTGCCTCAAACCCTTAATGCATCACAGTGTATTTCCATTAAGTGAATTGTGCATCAGAAATGCTTGTTGATCAATTGTTAAATGCTTGTCACGATGTTACTGCTTAGGGCACTTTGGACTGCTTATTTGATTTGCCATCAAAAGCTTCCCCCATGCATTAATGCCTACCACAAATGCCCTCCCCACCCATCTGCCTGAAAGCATTGTCCAGCTGAGCATTAGGGGTGAAAAGGACATGGGTACTGCTCCATTGCCATTTAGCGATAAGAGCATTTTGCCTCATCTATTGTTGCTTTGTCTGGGCTAGATGTACACTGTTTGAAGAGGCTATTTACATCAGGCCGGCCTGTTCTCTCTTCAAACAAATGACGGACTCTAATCTGGATCTGTTTGACCGCAGGGCCGTAAACACAGTAATAAGAACAAGTCTTCAATAAGGCCTTGCGTGTCTGCTTCTGAGTTGTCTTATCTTGGACTGTTGAATAGAGCCACATTTATAGCCGAGCCTGTGCAAAGCCAGATAGGAATCAAGGGCCGGCCGTTAACAATGTGCTTACGTTGTCTTTCAGTGACATACGGTATGACCAGCTCGAGCACCTATTACTACACTAAAGCCATGACGGACCTGTTTGTGAATACAGCCAGTGAGAGTGGAGTTAGGTTTCAGTCCATTAGCACCATGGCTGACTTCTGGACTGTGAGTTTTCCTTTAAATCCATTTCCATAATTATTACCAAAGTGAAAATTCAAAGAGAAATGACAATATGAAATGTCTTCTGTGTGCCTTTCAAACGCAATCCAATCTCTCTTTGTATGAACAGTATTCCCAGGGCCCGTTGTTGGATGGCCTCTACTGGACCAAATGGTACAACAACCAGTCCTTGGACAGCGGAGACCAGTCGTTCATCTACTATGAGAACATGCTGCTAGGAGTCCCCAGAATGAGGCAGATCAAGATCATGAACAACTCCTGCAAGGTCCACAAAGACTTCAGTGATGAGATATTTGGCTGTTTCGATGTTTACATTGACAAGAAGGAGGATGACCTTAACTTCGGACTCATCAACGGCACCGCGTGAGATGTTAACCGTTTTCTTCACAGGATTACTTTGGGTCTCCAGTAAGATTTGAGAACTACAGCAATATTTTCTTCTCCCTCTATAGGTGGACCTACCACACAGAGAAAGAAATCAAAGGTTCTTCCCACTGGGGCTTGCTGACCACATACAGTGGAGCGGGATACTACCATGACTTGGGTCGCACTAAAGAGGAGAGCACCATCGTACTGCAGGAACTGGTGGACAACCTGTGGCTCGACCGAGGAACCAGAGCAGCCTTTGTTGACTTCTCCACTTACAACGCAAACATCAACATGTTCTGTGTCATCAGGTAAAGAGCAACGTTGACCCTCTCAATTTTACCCATTAGTTTATACCCATGCATTGATTGACTAAAGTTTTATCCACTTCTTTCAGGTTGGTTGTTGAATTTCCTGCGACTGGTGGTGCAATCCCTTCCTACCAGATAAGGACCGTGAAGCTAATTCGCTACATCACCAACTGGGACTTCTTCATCCTCGGCTGCGAGATGGTCTTCTGTTTATTCATCCTCTACTACATTGTAGAGGAGATTATTGAGTTGCGAATACACAAGTTCTCCTATTTTAATAGCATCTGGAACATTCTGGATATTGTTGTCATAATGGTAAGAAAATGCCATTTTTATTTCGTTCGAACAAGTCCTTTTGGTCTCAAAGAATAAAAGTTATTTTCTTTCTTAGCTCGCCATCGTTGCCATTATATTCAATATTTTCCGTACCATAAAAGTGGACAACCTGCTCGGCAAACTGCTAGAAGAACCCGGTATCTACGCTGATTTTGAATTTCTGGCCTTCTGGCAAATGCAGTACAACAACATGAATGCAGTGAACTTGTTCTTTGCATGGATCAAGGTAAAGTATTGAAATATTTCACTCTAACACATAGTTAAGGAAAATGATCTAGCACCATTGCAAATACTGTGTGATGTCATCTTTAGGTTTTCAAGTACATCAGTTTTAACAAGACCATGACTCAGCTGTCTTCCACACTGGGTCGCTGTGCTAAGGACATCTTGGGCTTCGCCATCATGTTCTTCATCGTGTTCTTCGCCTACGCTCAACTTGGATATTTGCTCTTTGGGACAGAGGTTGAATCTTTCAGCACCTTCGTCAAGTGCATGTAAGAGATGTCTGAAGTGGATCAGCAGGAAATATTTTAATAGAACGACTGATCATACAATTATTTCTTACATTTTTGTAGATTCACACAGTTCAGGATCATTCTTGGAGACTTTGATTACAATGCCATCGACCGTGCAAACAGAGTTCTAGGGCCGATCTACTTTGTCACCTATGTGTTCTTTGTTTTCTTTGTTCTACTGGTAAGTCATTTTGTTACATGAGATGATTGATTTAAAAAGATAAAGATGATCTTCTCCTAATCTCAATTTCGTTTTTCAGAACATGTTTCTGGCCATCATAAACGACACATATTCTGAAGTGAAGGGAGAGCTGTCATCGCAAAAAGATGAGCTCCAGATTACAGACATCATCAAACAGGTAAACACAATGAGACTCATGTTCAAAATGGGAGAAGTTTTCCACAGGTAACAAACAATATGCTTTTTCTTTGTATTCCAGAGCTATATGAAGACATTTACAAAGTTGAAACTTAAAAAAGAGAAGATATCAGATGTTCAGAAGGCGATACGCTCTGGATCTGGAGAAATTGAATTCAAAGACTTCAGAGAAACTCTGAAAGAGTAAGTGAACAAATATCAAAAAGAACAGTATGTGCTAACTTCAGTGTTAAACGTAACCCTCACCGCTCTGATGATCTCGCAGGTTGGGACATGCTGATCATGAAATTTCTGCGGCCTTCTCACGGTTTGACCATGATGGGAACCAAATTCTAGACGAGGACGAACAAAAGAGGATGACAATCGAGCTGGAGGAAAAGAGGGTTTGTGTGAAAGTCTACAGAGTTTTTACTTATTTCAATAAAAGACACAATTATAAGAATGAGTTCATGATAGTGCTACCCATTTCTTTGTCAGGATGCTCTTAGCGCTGAACTCAACAATCTTGGGATAAATTACCAGAAAGATGTACTGGAGAAGCCTCCTGTAACATCCAACAACCAGAAGAACCACTCCAGTCCTACCTTTGTGGATCAGGAAGAGTTTCTAAGGTTTAAACAGTTTTTACATTTATGAAATGTCTTCAATTTTCAAAATGTCTCTACAATGGATGTTAACCAATAACTAAATAACCTTTCTCTTACCATGAAAGACTGGGAAGACAGGTTCTCCAGCTTGAAAGCTCTGTGGCGGGCATCACATCCAGGATGGAGCTAATTATGGAGAAACTGGGATTACAAGAGAAAGCTAAAGGGAACAAAATGACACTGACTGTAAGGAAATACATCATTAAGTTGTTCCTAAACCTTGTTGTATGCATCTAATGCTTTATTTAAAAGATATTAGGGTGCATCAGTTGATGGAGAACACTGAAAGGAATATTGAAGCTATGTATATTAGACAACATTTAATTCAGCGTATCCAAAGTGTCTTACAATAAGTGCAATCAACCTTGTAAATATGTATTTTAATGGCCAGACGCCTATGACGGAAGATGTCTAAACTTTCCATATATATGTATCTTACTTCATAGATATTTTGTTCTTCAGAAAATTGGATTAGACTTTCTCTGTTTTGTTGTTATGAATTTAACATTTTCAACTTTTGTTTACCCCCATCCAGAGTGATGACACGGCCTCGGATGGGAGCGTCCTGGTTTGTGTGGACAGAGAGACGAAGACTAAGACGTCATCGAGGAGACTGGGGGTTCCCCCTAAATCCACATTCAACTCTAAAATATGAGCAAATAGCTTGATACAGAATAATGGGTTGCATGGAAGTCAGCTGACATGTGAGGATGAAAGAATCCCAACGTATTTTGCATCACAACTTTCCAATGTTCAAAGTCAGTTAAAGTCACAATCTGATCAAGATCTGTTTCCTGTTTTTTGGTGATAAGCAGAAGTAGCAGGTGTTTTTGGACCTTTATTACAGATCTCTATAGGGTAAACGTTGGCAATATATTTGACACTCTGCTCCAGCTACTCATTTCATGGAAATGTGTAAATACTGTATAAAAACAATTTTGAAATTCCTTGCTTACGAGGTTACTCCCCTAGAGCTAATATAATAAACTGGTTCAGGTTGAAGCTCAGATATGTAGAAAACTACAATGTATGTTTTAGATGAGACATGGATGTACTTCTACGTATTATTAACGTTGTGTAATATACATTATTTTAACAGTAGGTTAGAAAAGTTGTGTAATATAATCTGATATTATGCAGGGGATGTACCACCTAACATTAGACTAAGTGACGCTTGCTTTGCTTTAGTCATTTCATGTTTATCAATGTTCAAGTTCTATGACAGTTGCTCAAAAGCTTTTGACTTCCTTCAGTTAAGTGAGATGTATAGCTATAATAAATAATGTTTCATGTTTATATGGAATTCATTCTCCAATAATAACCCTGTTTTTGTCCAACTCCTAGGCTGACGACACATTATGCTGTAACTTAGCAAAACATAAATTCATGGGCCCATGAGTAAACCATTGCCAATTCAGGCAATCTGTCACCCCACCAACTCTAAACATCTCTGATAAAGGCCCTCTTTGGCCCCAAAATACAAAAAAACAAAACATATTTCCATTAATTACATAGAATGAACCCAATGGAAAACATATTTTAAAAATGAATCATTCATGTTCAATATACCCAAAATGTCTGCCAAGAAAAGGTAAAAAAAAAAAAAAAGCAAATGTTTTGATGCCGCCTAGTTTATGTAACATTGAGAAAGTACAAACGTATGCTTTGCTTTCAGAGTGCTCTAACATACAATGTATTAGTGTCCAATAAATGTAGAAAAAAAACAGGTTCAAATGTTTCCTTTATTTAAAGTCACTTATTGAGTTTTCCTTTTTAAAATGGAAAATTGATTTCATCCTTTATTATTAAACATCACCTCTATTGTTCAACGTATATGTATTATTGTCATAAAACCAAATTGCTATTACATTCAATATTTGAAGCAACAAATGAATTACATGTCGTAAGCGTGCAGTCTAAGCTGAAACATCACCGGCTTCCTGCTACAAAATGGCACACAAACTTAAAAATGGGGGAATCTACAATGAAAAATGATTTTGGTTTGCAATGGAGCCTCTGCCAATGATGTAATTTGAATTTACTGACACACCAATTAAGGCTTATTCACAAATCATATTGCTGTAATTGTATGATGGCATTTCTACCTACAGTATGTACATTGTTTCGTAAGTTTCATGAAGGTTCGTTAACAATGTTTATATTTACACCCTCAGCCAACATGACCTCTGTTTAATAGTTACACAAAAAATCCTCAAGGTCTAATAAACAAAAAGCGAGAGAGTGAGCTCACAAGGAGTGTGATATACTGTACAGAATGGCACATATGCAAACAAAAGCCAAATGGCAGGACGTCTTTGTGTAATCCTTTTGTCGCAATAGATTTTTTTAAATACTGCTAATGTTCAGCAAACACTGAGGAAATTTAGAGGACTCAGAAAGATATCCGTTGCTCTGACAAATCATTTAAGAAACCTTCAAATTCATGAAATAAAACATCCCATTTCATAGTTAGTCTAAAACATTGGACAATTCGTCTTGACATTGACTAAAGAACAATATTTTGATGTCAAACATGATGCAGTTTTCGTCATTAGGGGCTGGTCTAAGGTTGTTTGCAAAAACTCCCAGCTGATAGAAAGAAATGACTATAAATTAACTGAGGTCCTCAACAGGAAGGAAGAACATATTCAAGATTCAATATCTCTCCAGGAAACCAGCCCCCAGATTCAGCACACAGTTAGTTAGCTTTACAAAGATTGGGGGTTAAGCTGATTTTACAATATTTTCTCTATATAGTGAGCACGTGCTGTAGCCTTTACTTCGAGACACGGGATTACAAATGAGGCTAAAACCCATCAAAAGTCTGTAAAGAACATGCTGATCACTCCGATATAAAACATGAAAAAACATAATTTTTTTTGCTTTTAGAGATGTGTATGTAACATTTGTTTTTGTACACAAAATGCACCCAATAGATACCATGTCCCGCTTAAATCTCAAGTTTCTTTACGTATAATGGAAAGGTAGACTCCCGTTCCAGGGCCTGAATTCACAAAGCTTTTTTCATATTTATCTAAAACAAGCACCACATTTCTATCCAAAGCAGGTTGGTTCATTTTTGTGGGTACGGTCAGTTTGTCGTCATGTTGACCCGCCTAATCTGTACCAAAAACATTTTTGACAAACTGACATAAATCACAAAAATAAACTGCAAAGCTTGAGTGGAATTTTGTACACCGTTTTATAGAATGACAGACCAATGCCCCAAGTTTGACGATAGAGTAAACATATTGACGAGTTTGTAACAAACACTAAAATATTAAAAAGCATATTGGCAAACAGAAATCTGATATTGCCATAGTTTGATAACTCAATATTAATATTATAAAGTTTGAGGTTTCTAGGGCTTGTTATCCTCGTCATGTTCCAGTGAGCAGCTGGAATAATATGATGGCTTTTAGTAAGTGTGCTTTTAACCCTAAAATAACATGTGTATGTTATACATTTTTAGTTATGGAAGGGTTACAATTGTTTTTTAAGGGGCCAAACACTTGTGTCCTTTAACGTTTATTTTAACAAATGCAGTCGTTGTATTTAGCTCTACTTCAGGAACCCCAGTGCACTTTGAATTTGTAATAATCAACAAATAAACATTTAAAAATTTGAAATGGAAACCGACAATTTACACACAATTCTTAAACTGGTTGTTAGGGAGCAACTCGTGTCTACAAAGGCTTTGTGAATATGGCCCCTGCCCTTCTTCTCCTACAGCAGGTGTTCAGATAGAAAGAGTGCCGTGTGGTTTTAAAAAGGGTTGACAACATCCTCTTGGTACTACACTTCTGTTGGGGCCAGCTCACTGCGTTTGGTAGCCAGCCATGCTGAAGTTGGCCAGGTTGGACATGACCTGTCCGGGGGGGGCTGCGGCCTGGGCCGACTGAGACCCAAAGCCCTCCACCCAGGCTGGGGACTGAGACTGCCTGCAAAGAGGCCACAAACATCCAGTTAGTATGACTGTGGTGACCCCCCATCGCTAATTGAGGCACTTAATGACAGAGGTGAAGAAAATAACTTCTATCTTTGATCTTTATTATTAACACAATTTAAAACCAGCCAGACTAATGTTGCCATGTTACTCCTATCATTCTGCGTTGCTATAGAAACACACTGACACCGTCCAGGTGTTTGTTTGTTTGTTAGTGCAAACACAGGACAAAGAATATCAAATAAAAGCTTGTGAATTAGGTCTTTAGAGTCCACTACATAGGTAAGTCTTCTGGCTGTGACCATGTCGTCACATACTGTTTACGAATGAATTGAATACACACTAAAACTTACTCTACTCCAAATCCTTGCTGGTTCCACGTTTGGCCGTACATACTGTAGGAGGGAACTTGCCAGCCATTGGTCACATACTGCCCGTACTGCTGCTGCTGCTGCTGCTGCTGCTGCTGTTGTTGCTGCTGCTGCTGTTGTTGTTGTTGTTGTTGCTGCTGTTGTGGCTGTTGCTGTGGTTGCTGCTGTGGATTCGCATAGACTTGATTCCACTGCCCCCACTGACCGTACTCAACCTGAGTGGAGACGGAGAGCTAAAGAGTGAAAACATGCCTTGAAGGTCACAAATTAGAGGACTGCAGCCGACAAAAGTGGCTCCAATGTAATCCTATAGGGCAGGGATGCCCAACCAGTCGATCGCCGGGAGATTCCCAGTCGATCGCGAGATGTGTCTAAAAATAAAACAGCAATATTCTGTTTTATCGTTAATGTCCTGTAACATAATCTTCCTGTGCCAGAATAATGCACTTGAACGCATCAAAGCTTTGTGATTGGCCGGCGTGACCCCATGTGTCGGGGCGTGGCTGGTGGGCATTGGGCACTATTTAGCCGACGTTGTCCCTCCGTGTCAACAGGAGTGACAGTCCGCACACACACAAGACCGCAATTATGGCAGAAGCAAAAAAGCCCAAAATATAGAATTCTCACTCCGAGTGGGAGGATGATTATTGTTTGTTTATTCCAATTCAAAGTCCATCTGTCTCATCTGCAATGCGAGCGTGGCTTTACCAAAGAAGGGTAATTTAGAGCGGCATTTAAAAACGGTGCACACACGCTACGAGACGGAATTCCCTCCTAATTCTGCCCTACGCTCTTCTGTTCGTTTCGTGCATATGTAACAGAGTTAAACATGTGAATACATCATTATAAGTTTGTGAATGTTTAATTCATAATAAGTTGTGAATTTTAAGAGAAGAGATTGTTTCATTTCATATTTTAAGTTTTGTTTCCCGTGGGAACACCGTCCCGTTGCACGTCTTTTTTTACTTCCGGTATGTATTTTCCACCCTCCGCGGACTGGCCATCTGTAGAATCTAGAGAATCACAGAACAGCCGGTCGTCAAGGGCCGGCTCGATTCGCTGAAGGCCGTCACCGCCCCTAATGTTTTATGTTTTTCAAAGGCATCATTGAAGTTGCACCGACAGAGGTCCGCCGTTTCCCCGCAGCGAGGCTCCCCCCCAGTTGACAGTTCGCTCCCTCTATTTGGACTGGTAGATCTCGGCAGACTGGCAACTTTAAAAGTAGCTCTTGGTTCAAAAAAGGTTGGGCACCCCTGCTATAGGGCAATAGTGCACTGTCAACGTAGTTCTACCTGCATTAATAATGTTTTTGCCACAGACAGGCCTTGATTTTTAGTGTCTGACACTATGATCAAAAAGGATCCTACAGAGAAATAAAACCTTTTTCTTTACTTTTTTCTTCCATCCTGTTTGTTTCTTATAAGTCATTCAGACACAAAAATACCCTGGTGATCCTTCAAATCTCCCATTAGATATAACTACTATGCTCAAGAAGGAAATAATACAACAAATACTGCAAGGCCAAATGAACATCAAAAATGTAATATAACATTTTTAGTCTGTTCATTTTTTTTCCTTCATTTTGCAAATCATATTTCTGTTTCCATTTCTGGGTTGAGGCTATGTCCCCCATGGTCTAGGGGTAAAGACGCCCTCCACCAACCTCTAAGAGAAATTTGCTGCACTTCCTTCTTCCTACCCATCAACTGTTTTCCTGTCGTCAAATGCCCATTAAATAAAAATCTTATCAGTTTTATATCAATGACATTTTCACTACCTGAGGTGGAGTTTTTGCCATATCAGGAGATTCTTTCCCCCAGAAGCACTTCACTATGTGTCCTTCAATGGCTGTGCCGTTCACTGAAACAATGGCATGGGCAGCGCTGTCATGGGTGGAAAACCTTGAAAAAAAGAACAGCAGAGCAAATTTGTCAAACAGGATCTCTTTAAGATTATTAAAACTGAGCTAACGTTTTAAAGTAAAGA